ACACAAGAGGACAGAGAAGCACGGGGTTAATTTAATACTCCAGGCTCCAGTCATATAACGTTTAAACAAGATGTGCTGACGCCCTTTTTTGTCTTTGGATATATGGAAATCCACAGAGTAAAACCGAAACGCGAATAAATTTCATGGCTTTTCACCTGTGGACAGTGGATCATGACCGGGACCATTTAATATCCAGATTTCCAATTTATAAATTTTCAGAAGAGATTAAATTATGTAGTTCAAAACATGTTAGACCCGTTGAGGATTAGACGAACGAGTCCGTTAAACAATGAAATTAACTAATATACCTACTTCGCCTTAACGACCGTTAAAAATATGTTATTTTAGTTAGCGTAAGCTACAAACAATACAATATGATACAAATAACATTGTATTTCGACCAAACGAAATACTTCGTGTACTATGTTTGGTCGAAAACAGTTCAACGTGCACTTTACGAATCATTAGATTAAAATTATTAATTAGTCGGCCTTAAGCTTTATCAACCAGGAATGAATGATGAGAAGAGAATGTGGACTAGCATAAAACCCAATGACGTAACATACGCCTATTTCATGCAAAAAATTAATAAACCTATGCCACACAATAGAATGTAAGCTCAAACAAGAATTACGTGACTGTGTTTTTCACAAGCGATGATTCACTTTACTCTGGTTAGATACACCTATAACAGTGATGTATATCTATATGAAAGGATAACACGTTACCCATTCGTTACTTAACCTATTACTCGATTTTCCTGGTCAGTTTAGTGAATACTAAATGCGCAAAGCCATATTACTTGCGGTATCTTACGTACAAAAATTTCTAGAAGAATTTTACAGGCCGCTTTAGTCGTGTATACGAAAAAAAAGATCTTTTGTGGTTTTCTCTTCTGTTGTTTTTCTATTTTACATTTTTGTTAATTCTTTTAAAGTGAAAATTTCGTTTTATACTTATAACTATAACTGTCCTACTTCAAATGTGGAACATCACTGAAAATCGGCGTTCTGTCTACTTCCAGGTACCACAACAGCTGAGTGGTATGTGGGAGGGACCTACATCTATTTTATTATGTCTTTTTGTGTGGGGAAAAAATGATTTGATTTGAATTGAAAAATGTTAACTGTAAATATAATAGACGGATTCCTTATTGGTCCTGAACGATGGGATGATATAACACATGGTCAATGACAAATTTAAGATGCTAGGTGCATTGGCACAAAAGTTTATTAGCGTTACTCAGAAGACAAAAGATGGAGTTCGTAATGCACACAATGCTGTACAGAAAGTTTTCTATTTTTGACTTAATACAATTCTTACGCATATCTAAAAGACTATCTACAGATCTCTAGAGGTATTTAAACCTTTACTTCAAATTGCGAGCTTTAGGCATTCATTCTTTCTTCCCAATAAGACATAAGCCGACCGCCAAGCGAGTAAAAGTACGTTTTTATGAACCTCCCGTGACACGACTACGATCGAAAAAGAAAAAAGTTTCTCGCCAAAGGCTGGAAAACAATGACGCATATTTCCGGTTCAGCGTACCTGTAAAGATATAAACTACGGAGCGCACATAATCCCATACTTTCTACCAGATGGCTGGCGCGTCTGGCATGCCCTTTCACGTAAAAGGAAAAAATGTCCTGCCTCCGTCCAAAAAACCTCGAGGCACGAAACGATTTCCTGCCCGCGCATACGACGGTTTATTATGTATGGACAAATGCATTTTATGAAGCACTACATCCTGCGTATGAAGGGTCGCAGCCATTATGAATTTTATCACCCGCTAAATAAAAATGCAAGTAAGATTGACAGTCTTTTGAGCTGATCATAATAAGCTCTATACCGATTCAATGCAACCTTATTGCAGAAGTAGTATATGAGTAGAGATAACATACAATTATTAAAGTGATATTACGACATAAATAAAGCACTAATTAACTCATAATACAACATTTACGTTTTAAACCACGGAAAATACTTATATTCATTATACAATATATTACTAAAAATATTTTAATTAACTAAATAGACCAAATACCACTGTAGTTAATATAGAAATAATTAAAAACTACCGAGTGATATTTGTCTTAAATCAAATAGGTATATAAAACAGGTATGTATCATGTATATGTACATACATTTTAGAGGGCCACTTTCACTATTAAAACTGTAAAAGTTCTTTAAATTTCTAAATTTGGTTGCCACAGGACTACGGGGCAAAGCACTATACTGTTGACTAACTTTTATTCATCTGTATTGTTAGTCAAATTTTCATTAAATCCACTTATTTATTGAAACTGACTAAGAAATCATTGTTATGTCAAATTGAGTAGTTTGTTATATTGTGTTGTAAGTTTATTATTTTCTATTGTAGATAGCGACAGAAGCCAGGTGATCAGTCCACATTATCTGCTACCATCTTCACCGATTCCCCACTAATGGAAAACATTGTGTTATCCAAACCTCACTGTGTCCCTTTAAATATTTTTCCTTTTATATATTCATAGGTGAAACAATAAACTTTACTATCAAGAAACTGTCAATCCAGAAAGATTATTTCTATTCATACAGTTTTCAAGTAATAAGGATAAATAGCAAATTTATACTTCCGTTAGGCAGTTTATCTTACATTGAATGAATACCTATGTTGCAACACAACATATCATTCCATTACAAATATATGGTAGCTGTACTACTATGTTTGTAATTGGGGAGAAAACTAATTGGATCATTGGTGTAGTATCAATGATATATATAAGATTGTAAAAAGTTAAGACAGTGAGTGACTTGAAGATGAATACAATAGGATATAGAAACAATGTTTATTTTACCTAGCTTGTAAGAAGATGTGAAGATATATTGTCCACGCCCACACGTCTTTTGTACCAAAATGTTTACTACACAATCAGTTAGTATGTTGAAATATTCTGAGACAGTTTGCTTTCACAGAATTTCAAATCCAATATACAGGCATAACAAGTATCAACGCTTACCATAAACAACTGGTCAGTGAATATAACCAAATTAATGCTCACTTAAATGCAGACACTGTAGTCCACTGAATTCATGGCTGTTCATGATTATTTATAAACAATTCAAGTTGCAAGGCAACCGATGCACTTATGTACTGTAATCAGCTGATAACACCGATATGGACGCGAACAACGTACGTAAGTCCGCATACGACGGGCGCATGCTTAGATATTGGTGGGAATCAATTATTGTAATCGCTGTACACGTTAATCGCGCCGTTAGCACTACTCACTAATGATGGACGTACTCAAGTGTTCAGCTAGTCGTCACCACGGCTGCGCCTCGCGGTGCACAAAATCGAATACCATTACTTATTCACTGATGCAAAATTACGACCGTGTGCGCCCTACATGCGCAGACTACGTTTCGCTTCCAGATAGACTAGCCTTGTCGACTCACCGTCGCTTGCCATTCCCAGGAACTCGGTGCACGTAAACAACCGAACCGCATAATAAAACAAAATGGAAGTCCGGAACGCACTCGCAGCGAGATGAGAAATTTTATGAGCGGACACCTCACGAGTAGTAAAACGTTGTTACTATCCTATCGTAGTATTTTAACAGCCCCCCCACCGATTGAATATATGCCCTCACTGCACTCTCGTTCACTGTACAAAGAAATATGTCCACCGACACGGCAATATAACGCGGAACGTGAGTTTATCAACGTTTAGCACTGATTTTTATATCCACTTGAAAATAATAATCATTGAAGCGTTTGACATCGCGAGACAAAACACCCACACCAAAAAATTCTACATGACGACTGGCCTAGCCAGGCCCATAATAATTTCCACTCGAAAGTATTCCCGTTTCGCTCGTACACCATTCATTCGATTGAGTCGCAATACGTGCGAAGGGGACAGAAATATATAAATATTTCCTGTATGAATAGAATCTGTTGAAGTATCCCTCCTCGGCGCGCCGAAATCGAGTTGAATGGACCCGCGACGCGCTCAACCATTGGATCGATTTTGGTCACGTGATATAAATATGTCGCTTTGCGCATTATGCGCGCGAAATTCAAACTATAATATATAACTATACCTTTGGACATTGTGGTGTCTTATAAATCAGATACAAACATTATATATCTACTTAATATCATTCTACATAAAGAATAACAAAATAATATAGTATACACATACATCATAGGTATGTTATAAAATTTTGACCTAACAAGTTTTGCTAACCTTTAGTAGCTCTATAGCTAATAATAATGAACATTTATAGTTTTTGAAAAACACCTCGTTTTAAACTAGAATTTAATAAATCAAAATAGCTTATTATTTTTTTACAATATCCTAAGAAAGTCTCCTATTCTCTCCAGTCATTGTTAATTGTTTGACCAGAACGAATAAAGGTAGAGAAACTTCATGTTTTGAAAACTTTATTTTTATGTTATTGGCCGTGGTGGCATTATTTTTATTAAAGAATCTATTTACATTGTAATAAACATTTTGCTAGCTTGGTCATGGTAGCGCAATTGGTTAGAGCAGCAGAACAGATGGCTGTGGATGCTACTTCAAGTCCCAACCTAGTTGCCAAATGTTTTTCAATATAAATATATTCTAAAACATTTTCATAGTATTTAAAGAATTCTCTTTTATTTGAGTGTGCTATGAAATAAAAATGAAAGACAGTAAGGGGTTTTAAATAATTATAATTACTGTGTAAGAAAATAAATCCTAGTTACTAAAATAAGTAATGAGTGTTTCCTAATTTTGATTTTAATAAAAAGCATTTTTCTGTATTTAGATCTAATTAATGTTTAATCAAGACAGTGTTTTATTAATGAGCTATATACGTCACTGAGCTGATAAGATATTCTTTTTGATAATTTAATCACAATTAAAATAGAAAATATAATATATGTTATGTTACATAACTTTATTTATGACTTGCGAGAGAGTAAGTTGTGTTATATGACAGCAAATAATATATAATGCTGTGGTTACATGTCTAAATTCCAAGACCAAAAACAGATACAATGCAGTACATTGTCTTATTTTCCCAGCGCACCGTACAAGAGCCATCAGTGTTGTTGTCCCAGAAACATGATGAAGCTGTGTGTAGCCCTGCGCCGTTCTTCTGCATTATGGTGCAAGTCACTAAAATAGGAAAGCAACATGTAATTCCTTTTACTATAATGAAATGCATAAAGAGTTTGTATTGCATACATTATAAAACTAGCAATAAGTAAAGTAAAAGTCACTTGAAAAATTCAAAGCCAGATTTAGTTTTCATAAGATAACATTTTTTTATATACCAATGTATTTATAAGGCTTTTGAAGCTTTGTCAACTGTCCTAAACATGATTCGACGACAGCTGAAGTCCATTGATTTACTTTATTGTGCTGATAAGCCGTACCTCCAATGGAATTTTCAATAGCTTCCTTAATAATTTTACTTACATCGTCGACAATAAATTGATTCTGAAACATACAACGGTGATACATAAGCAACTTCTTTAACGGTACAATTTTCTTATGCAGTACTTGAAATCTTACCTCTTCAGCTAAATCATTACATTCTTTCACATCCATGTTTTCGGTTTGTTTATTCTCTTAGGAACCTAATAATATTGATTTTATTTAGGCTTCAAGAAATTGAACAAAATACAACAAAATTTGACACAGTAACGCTATGTCGAAAATCGGAATCCATGTCAAAGTCAGAATACAGCACTAAATAATAAATATAGATAAATATCGGGCAGATGAAGATTATTATTATCTTTTTTTACTTTATCTGTAGAAATTTAAAACTAGAAATGTTCTGAGTTGTTATATCTATTAAAACAGTTGTCTACTGTCAGATTTATAGCAGTTGTCAGCTCTCAGCAGATAGAATGTCATCTTTGATTTTCACTATTCAAGTTTTCGGTTTGTAAAAAAATATGGATTCGTAAATTGTTATAATTTAATGGCTTCGTCAGTGCAAAATAACCGAGTGTCTCCTTCTGGATATTGTGCATGTTGTCGAACGTGCAATATGTGGTGCTGGAGAGCCTTAAAATGGCTTCCAGTATTATTGATAGTTTCTATTGTGACATGGTCGTATTATGCATACGTTCTTCAGTTGTGCATTTGTGAGTAAATTAGTGATTCCTGTAAGGAACTTTCTATTTTCTACGAATGAAATAAATTATTAATCTTACTGTTACAGTTACAATTGAGAGTACAGTGCAACAATGTGTCTATCTTGTGCTGTACCACATATTACTAATAATGTTTTCTTGGTCCTATTGGCGAACAATTTTTGCGGACATAAAATCAATTCCTGATAAGGTATGTTCTAAGAAATTTGTGACAGAGCAATTTAGATTTAAAATTTTTGAGTGTATTTGTCATGGTCATTGTCATAGTATTTGGTAAAATACTACTTAAAAAAAGAATAAAAAAAACTATTTTATAAAAGTTCAAAGTGGGGTCTTGTGCTATAGAAACATCAAAGTTACTATAGTGAGTGAAATTGTTACTAGATATTGTTTTGGACTGTGTCCTACTTATACTATATGTGTTTAGCTTTCACTTGAGCTGCATTTCATTGTTAATGACAAGTTATGCTGTTTTAAAAAGATTAATTGAAATAGCATTATAGATAGGGAACATATGTATCTTTCAGTACAAGTTACCAGAGGAAGAATTAGAAAAGTTATTAAGCGCAGATACTGAGGAGGCACAGCGCACGGTCTTAGAGAATTATGCTAAAGATCTTCCAATAGTTACCAGGTAATCATAAAGTATTGTTCTCCTTTAATTTTTTTTAATAAAGATTATGCACAAATAATTAATGTAGATTATGTTATCTTAGTAATATTATTTTCTCAAACCTAGCATCATAAGTGCTTTAAGAAAATTCATCAGAGTCTTGTGTAATGTGGAAAGCAAAAAGGAAATTTTAGAAAATTTTGCTAACACTATCCCTGTTTTAACCAGGTTGGTTCCATATTCTATGCAGTAGCTAGAATTGAGAAAGTAATCAATTTTATGTGGATTTAGTATGAGGAATATGTGTTTGGACATATCAGCATTTAAAAATATAACTATATTAGTACTTATTATAGAAGAGACCACTTAGATACTAATAAGGTTAAAGAGAGGTATAGGATGAAGATAGAGAGGATACATTCATGTCTCTGTTTTTTTCCTTAGGTATCCAAGGAAACAAACAGTCTTGGAAATATTTTGTAATGTTTTCTACAAATTCAAACCTTTGCATCATTGGACCTCTCGCCCTTATATAGCTAATTTAATCAATATGACATAGAGTAAATTAAAGTTGATGCCTTCCAGAATGATTAAATTATCTTTCAGAACAATGTCAGGCTCGGTGCGGTATTGCAACCGATGTGTACTGGTGAAGCCAGACCGTGCACACCACTGTAGCATATGCGCAAGGTGTGTGCTAAAAATGGATCACCACTGCCCCTGGGTGAACAACTGTGTGTGTTTTCACAACTACAAGTTCTTTATGCTGTTCTTGGGATATGCTTTGCTGTACTGTATTTTCATTATGTCAACGTGTTTGCCTTATTTCATCAGATTTTGGAAGGTATGTATAATATTTATTTTGTATTACTTTATTATTATTATGTATAATATTTAATTGCACTTTTATTTAAGAAATTAATGTATGGAATGAGTAGAAGTTTGAACCTTACAAATATGTGTTAAGGCCTAATTTACATTGCATGAGTGGAGCATGCATAGAGAAATTGAGAATTTTGATGAGACACGGATCGTCGCACAGTTGGTGTAGGAAAATCATGGTGTTGGTTGTGGGTTCAAATCCTGCAAGTGTTATTAATTCTTTCAATCATATTTAAAAAATACCTAGTGGTAGTTGGTTATTGTTATTATTTCGGCTACTTTGCTTTCTTATTACGATAGTAAAAATTATTTTGGCTGGCAATTGCAGATGTATCAGGAATACAAGCATGCCCACTGCGACCGTTTGATTGACAACGGGCCATATTCTAAAAAATGCATGGAAATATTTGATGTAAACTATTTTAATACTCAGCTTGCATCATATATACATTAGTATGTTGAGAATCATTTGTATATAACCATATTTAGATGTAGTTCATATGTGAAAATGATTCATGCAAATTCAGATATTTTCAATGGGAAATCCCGTTTCCAATATGTTCAATGTATTAAGTATAAACTAAGTTGATTAAAACATAGGACCATCCGTATTGGCCATTGGGGCATGTCAAAAAAATAATAACAGCGTCGACTTTTTCTAATGGGTCTTAAAAAACTTATTAGGTCTCACGATGTTATTTGCAGTGCATGTCGACTGAATGCCTAACGTTCAGCTCAATGAGGCACATGACATAATTACTATATAAACGGGCTTCTTAGTAACTGGGGCAGATAAATATTTCGCTTTTTTAAAATCTTGAACAAAAAATCTTCGATCGCAATATTTTTAACTTTAGTTTTCCTGGAAAACTGTTTATTCACCCAGTGTGTCATTTAAGTCTAGGTACATAATGTGTTATCAACAAGATTGATGTATTTTCCGATTGAAAAATTCAGCGACCATTGTATTGATTTTATTAACTCGCGTAACTGAGCGATAGTCTGAAAAACCCATGGATATTTCCAGAGAAAATATTCTGTTGGGATATATAATATATTATGCAAGAATCTACAAAAACTAAGGCTTTATTAAATTATTTACTCTTCTTCTCATAGTGAACTCTTAGCTAATATTTCTATTATTTGCTGTGAAGATACTTCCCCCAACATCTTTGACAACCAGATCCGTACCGCGCCACTGGTGTCTAACCCCGCTGTTGATTTGAAGTTATTATTTACTTGCAACAGTTTGTATCAAAATTTATAAAATCTTATAAAGCTAAAAACATAAGAGTTAAAACAATATCTTTTTTTTGTAATTATTTTCCCTTTGTATGTACGATGACCAAATTATAAAATCAATTTATAGTAACTTCCGCTAATCACTCAACATGCCAGGTCGTGATATCACGTATTAATAGCACTTGTCATTTTTCTTATCTGACAGAGATTACGCATTGCATATATTGACCATAGTATTTCTCACCATAGCGTAGATAGACAAAGCGAAATAAATTTAAAATGTTTCTTAATAAATTAAAAATTCTTATTAAAATAATAAAAATACTTCTTAATCTAATACTGTCTATAGTTAACGCGAGTAGTACACATTTAAATAAAACACTTTAACGGTTTAAAACTGCAGCAAAGCATCCGAAACGTCGAGCTAAGTTAAAAATAATTTTCAAATGAGTTTAACTAATATATCACGTTTTAAACCGTTAAAGTGTTTTATTTTTATACTTCTCAATCTGCTAGAAATGTCAATCCTTCTATTATAACGGATGTATTGGATTTTTGTAAGAAATGAATAGGTACATATAATATTTAATAAGCCTTTCCTTGTTGATAATGTGTAGGTCATTATTAAGCGTGTGGTATTCAGTTGAATGCAATTTATACACACTCAATTATAAGTAATTATTCTATCATATCAGCTTTCTAATATTAACTATAATTAAATAAATACGATCGAACGATAATACAAAAGGAGATATAATTAGTTTAATTAAAAAAAAATAACGGATTCAAACATGAAACGTATTCGTTAACTAATTTAAAATTGATGGGATGTCACGTTGAGACATACTCCATCTTCTCATCACAATACTTTTCACGCTTAGCCGTTAAAAGTAATTTACTGAAATTATTTTCAATATTTTACTATGGCCCGACTTCTCGGCACCCGTGGTCACAGGGGGTTGCTTTGACCCCCTTATGATTAAGTAGTTAAAATAAATAGTCAATAATTTAACTAATACATTTCGCGTTTTAAACCGTTTAAAAGTGTTTGGACGTGTACTATTCGCGTAAACTACTGATAATGGTTAAGGTGTAAAATTTATTATATATATACATACATTTCCTGCATTAATATTCGTTCAGTAGTCTTTGCAAACAGTAACAAACATACATTCATCCTTCCAAACTTAGTTATGTATGTAGTGTTAATACATTTGAAGCAGTGTGTTGCCGGATTTGTACATTTTGCACATTGTTATATCGCAGTGGGTATGCCTATATTGACGGTATCTGTGCGCATTGCAGCAGTTATTTGTAAACAATGTGGAATTTGTATTAATTAGTTACCGTAACGATCAATGAAGTAGTTAACACAAATGTAGTCGCTCTGAAATTAATGAATTATACAATAATAGCATTAATAAAATTGAGGGTTGTGGATAAAAATGGAATTTATTGCGTTAAAGCATAACAGGAACTGCTAATATCATGGTCCAGAAGAGCGGGGTCTTTTGCGTTTGTAGTCTAAAAAGTGGGAGTTTAGTAGTTTAGTAACCAATAGTGGAGTCGGGTGAAAAAATGAAATTTTGAGTGACACGTTCTCTGCTGAACATAAAGAAACCAGAATGTCTAAGAACTGCAAAATGTGTACTAACGCTTATAAACAGTTGCTTTATATCCGGCCTGTCCCAACAGTGGGAAGTGTTTAAAGACAATGATGACGATGGTAGTAGATAGCACCTGTTACAACTGTATATCTCATAAACGCAGAAACGCCTCCAAGCTAATGCAAATGTCTTTTTAATGTATTACTAGAATAAATATTGCATAAAAGTATTGATATATACTTGATACAGGGTGATTTTGGAGCGGCGGGCAGTTCCGGCCGATATCACATCGTGTTCGCGTTCTTCGTCGCGCTTATGTTCGCGATCTCGCTCGGTTCGCTGTTCGGCTACCATTGCTACCTTGTGGCGCACAATAGGACAACTTTAGGTACGTACCCTATATAAAGTTTTTAATTAATTTTGTACATATTACTAGTAATACAAAAGCCGCTGTTGCATATATATATCGCGTTTTAAACCGTTAAAGTGTTTTATTTAAATGTGTTAAAATTGTAAACTTTAGACAAAAAAAAACTTTTTATATAAGAATTTCAACAACTATTTTTATTTGTAATCTTGATAAACATAAGTTATCGCACTTTGAAAACGCACTTTCACTGTAGACAAATTTGTATACTATATCTTTTAAAACTGCGAGTTGTTATACATTGCTGTTTTGGTTTAATCTAACACGATAAACGTCATTAGAGAAGTCACGTTGACTTACTAACAAACGTCACAGATAAGAGGTATCGACACTTTAAAATTCTTCGGCATTGCTTCTTAGATGTATCGCAACCCGCATCTAATGGAACAACGTAATGATACCATTAAAATAATGTTTTTGAACACAAAGCTTTGACTAACTTAATAAATTATATATTTATTAGAATAAAATCAACTCAACAACAGTTCGTACGACATCCGTTTATTTGAGTAAATTTAATTGGTCATGTTTAAAATGTTTTTGGGACTGCCTTCTAATTTTTAATCATTCATTGTGGGTAAAAAGCTTTATTTAAATAGAATTTCCTTTCAGATATGCTTGTCTCGTACAATCGCAATGGCAGTCCGACGGGACAGATTGTTAACTCTATGCTTTTAACCATGATCAATGGTAACACTAAGTCTATATCTATAGGATCGTGTATTCAATCAAAGTTCTTGTAATTTCATGAAATCAGTAGAGTTAATTATAGTATATTAGTAGTGCATCTATTTATGTATGTTGTACAACGTTATTGTGATAAGTAGGTTGTGTAGATAATAAAAATTCATAAACATTTATATCCGGGTGTCAATGCATACCGACTCGAAGGACCATTTCTAGTTTATGATCAACCAATGAAATAGTCGATTTGTGAGACTTTCTGTCAGTTTGTACCAATTACTAGTTAAAATAAATTGATCAGTTTTTCATATGCAAAAATGATTTTTTTAATTCTATAAATTTTAATATTCACTCATATTTCAGAGGCATTCCGCGCGCCTATGTTCCGCGGTGGCGCTGACAAGAACGGCTTCTCAATCGGCGCTTACAATAACTTCAAAGAGGTTTTCGGAAACAGCCCTAACCTCTGGCTACTGCCGGTCTTCACAAGGTAACATATAGCTTTGTCTAGCTAGTTTTAGTAGTAAAGCTTAACGGGTAGTTTTAGTAATCGCTAGAAGTGTGTTTTTTGTTCTGAGAACTTATCTCGCTAATCACTATCGCGTTTAAAGCTACCTATAGTATTATATTTGTCCTCTTCTAACACAATATATCGACGAAGTGTCGGACCAGGACAAAACATAATATAGCTCGTACAAGTGTCGAGTCTTAAATTAACTATTTTACTATCATTTGACATAGTGATGTGTGCATGTAGTGGGAAAAGAAGTGAATGAACAATCTCTTACTGTTTGTGCGACTTGCATTATCTATGCCATTAACATATTTATGCTGAACATCGATAAAATAATGATGAAGCGGTCATCTATCACCTTTCAATAGCAATGTCTTAGTCTTACGAAAACACCATATTTTTTTTTTTTTATAATAAAACCAAATTTTTTTTAACGGGGTTTTTTTTTTATTTTTTTTTTTTTTTTTTTTTTTTAACCCCCCCCCCTTTTGGGAAAAAAAAGGGTTTTTTTTTTTAATAAATTAAAAACACCAGAGACCCCTTTTTTTAAAAATTTTTTCCCAGGGTTTTTTTTTTAAAAAAAAAAAAATTTTTTTTTTAAAAAAATTTTTTTTTTTTTAAAAAAAAAATATTTTTTTTTTTTTTTTTTTTTTTTTTTTTTGTGGGGGTGTTTTTTTTCTCTTTTCCCCCCCCCCCCTTTTTTCCCCCCCACATCTCCCCTCCCTTTTTTTCTTTTTTTGGTGGCCCCCCCCCCCCCCCCCCCCCCCCCCCCCCCCCCCCTTCTTTTTTATCTAAAAAACCCCCCCCCCCCCCCCCCCCCCCGCGGCCCCCCCCCCCCCCCCCCCCCCCCCCCCCCCCCCCCCCCCCCCCCCCCCCCCCCCCCCCCCCCCCCCCCCCCCCCCCCCCCCCCCCCCCCGGTCAAGGTCAGACCGCACGCACGACTCGCACATACCTTGAGAATAAAAACCGGACTGACTCCCCCCCCCCAGTTCTATACTCGCTGGCCAAATTTTTGAAGCGACTGATACTCGAGTAACTGTTCTTTACCTCTTCCTAAACGACGCGTATGACGAGTATTTCTTATCTTACTGTTTGTCTGGAGATATTTCTTTTGTCAGGTTTTGTAATTTTTCCATTCACTTTGTTATTTATAAAGTATTACATGATCTAGACACCGAACTTCCAGAAGAAACAATTTTAGACTTCTTGACGACGGCAGAATCAATTCTGAATGTAATTTCCTTTATTTCCTAACATCTTGAGATCCTCGCTATCAATAAAAATACATAAGTATACAAACGTGTCTTTAGAGCAGCGGTTGTGTACAAAATTTTCGCGACATTTATCTATCTTCTTTGCAAAGAATTTGGCTCGTGACTCAAATAAATGTCTCTCAAGGGTAATTTGGTTGTCATAAGAAAATCTTAGGGTAGAGTTGAGTATTTCACGTATAAATAATTATTTTGACAGTAAATATTCATTAGTTAGAATTCTATATATAGTTATTACTACCGAGGGTTGTTGTTATAGTCGTCCATATGACAGTAAATATATTTTTAACATTTACATAACTTTTAATGGGCTTAAAAAGTGTAGGAGTAGGCTTAGCTAGTAAATGTCGGTTATAGAGCCAGTGTGCCAAAATTGTTTAGTGCTGGGTTGAACGAATTTTATAAAAAGAAATTATGAATTATACACGTCTTCCATAAAAATTATAGATAGCTTTAAAATATATTCTAATAAAGAAAAAGAAAGTAGGGATGTCTTCATAAAGCTTGCTTGCAATACCCACGGCAGTCGAGTTTGAGTTTCCGGTGGTTTTTATACTCAAGATATGTGAGCCTAGGATGCCCTCGAACGAATCCAATTATGTTTAGCTTATGCATTTATTTTCGAGCTCTATACAACACACAAGACTGATGCTATAGTGTAATACTGGAATATATTTTGTAAGTTTTATGCACAATAAAATGTTTTGTTCTCTATTTTGTTTCTTTTATTTTTACGCCAGTTCGCTTCGTTACTGCTGCTCTCAAAAGTAATTCTTTATTAAGAATATGCATATAACCTTTCGCTTAGTTTCGTTAAACGCCGAATTGATATTTGATTTTGTAAGTAGTTTATGAATTAAAAAAAAATAGTCGCTTAGCTTCAAAACGGCTGCGGCAGTTAGCAAGCAAATGGATGCATAGGAAATTCGTGAAATTGGCAGCAAACCTCGTCTGTGTGATGTATATAAGCAAGTACAATAAATAACAATACTACACGTAACCTGAGCCGTGTGCTAGCCCTGTCTCTCTCAGTCTATGTAATACAAAATCTACGGACGCATCGGCAGCTATAAATAGTAATTAGTAATAGATTGTTAATCCGTCGATTGCCCGTCTAGTTGACGCGTTCGTAGATTTTGACAATATACCACAGAGATGAATATCGAATATTTTACGATTTTAGCGTGGAGATGACACACGAGACTGAGAGATGGAGACTTTGCCCCCGAAGGGGCAGGACCGTCCCGCAAATAGTATAAGGAACACATTCGCAATTTACTTTCGTTAATTATATTTTAATTATTATATTTCAATAAAATCCTTCCAATCGAATAATGCTTTTCATTCATTAACATTGAGATTTTTTCCAAATTTCGTCATTCACTTCTTTTTCGTACATTCAAGATCTGTGTCCTTTTGCATGCTAAAACATAGCAAGCACTTTAGGAGTGACCTTAGTATGCTTGATTACTGATAATAGACATTTAGAGCGAACGTATGCCAATAGAACATAGAATAAATTAGTAGAAAAACTAATTCTGTATACTTTATATTAAGGAATACTAAATACATTTTTGTTTTAATAAATAATAAATGATTTTATTGGCAGCCTAGTCGCATTTTTAAAGACTTTACTATAAACTACCCCCCACATACCTCAACCCTAGTGTCATGCAATAAATTTTCTTTTTCATTTCAATGAACATTAGCATACACCTCTTCACATTTTTGAATGTAATATACTTCACAAAAATACCAGAAAAAAACTATCGTGGTAGTAATTATTATCCAAAAACTACGGTACTTTAAGATTAATAAAATAACAATAATAATAAAACATTCTAAATAGGTTCTCTTGAGAATAGTTTACTTACTTATTAGCTATTTTGTGTCATAAATAAATTCTAGTATTTTGTATGTATAACAAAATCCTGTTTTTTTCTGGTATTTCCTATTGCATTGAAGATAATGACTAGCAATAAAATGTAGCTTCGGCGATGGTATCGTGTATCCGCTGCCTCAACAAGACGAAGACACCGAGTCCTTGCTCAGTTCGGAGCGGTGGGACCGCTGGGGCGAACGAGCCCGGCCCTTCGACGAGCGAGAGAGCTCATCTTACGACGAACTCTGAGTGAAGGGATGGTCACGACTGCACGACGCAGGCCTCGTTTACTACGTGTAAACTATCGATAAAGTACGCAGAATTGAGTTTTTTGTTCTGTTTAAGTTTTTGCAGTCTGTGGTTGTTAACAAACACCAAAAGCTTTAGCGTGCATGTCTGTATACTGAATCTTTAATATTGCGTAATGTATTATCCACAAAAGTAAGATTTTCGATGTTTTTTTTATGATTATTATGTATTTTGGACCAATGCTGGCAATACTAATCAACTTTGCGGCTAGACCAATGGGGAGGGAGATCTTGGAAGGGGGCAAAGTAGTAGGACAGAAAATCGTCAGAAACCTGTTGTTTCTTTTTTTGGATGGGTGGCTTTACGATTCACTAAACAGTTAAACTTGGATTTAAACTTTCTAAATTTTTGTCACCTCTTGAACATATGATAAATTGAGTTTACCTTCTGAACGGACCGACTAATATGATGTTGTATTAAGGGATAAAATGGGTATTTGTTTTACTTTAAGCGAATTAGAATTAATTACCTGCGTACATGTGCTTAAAAGTAGGATTTTTTTATAATTTTGTGATTTCTTTGCGTCTGAATTATCTGCTAGATAATTAAGTTTAAAGGGTGTGTATTGACGTCTGCAGAGTAACGTGACCATTCGTATATTTAAACTATAGATTTTAGATGAACGGTGCTGACCTTCATACAAATTAAGAAAATATTCAAAATGATATAAAAAAATATATGAATTGTCAAACAGGCACCGCATAGGCATGTCTATCAATAAATAGACGTGTGAATTAGAAAGGGACAACATAAAGAAGCCTTTTCATTCAATTCATGTTGTCTCTTTCTGATTCTAAACTTCGTCCCTAAGTTCTTAACGCCGTATAGATTATGTAAGTATTTTTAAAGTTCAATTATTGAATAAAAATGTAATCTTTATTCGTTTTATATATGTATAAAAAGTATCTGTTATAGAGTTCATGTATAAAACAATGCAGTTATTCGCTCTTTTTTAGATATAAAGTGGGTAGTTTGATATCAATGCGAGGTAAGAACTTAGGTGACGCGTTGCATGGTGGGAATATGATTAGGTGGGTAAGTAATTAATTAATTGTATTTACAACAATATTTATCCGATATTCGTGATTTTAAAATTAATTTTATAAAGTAAGCTCTCATTGATGTAAATTGTCCATTCAAAATTGTACACGAAATGATTTTTTTTAATGGTAAAATAAATAATAATTACACTTTGTTTATAATAATCCGATTTTATGAAGAGATCTTTTGTAAAGTTAGATTAGATGGTAAATGTTAAGCGTTGTACAAAGTGCTTTTACCCTATGAGACTGCTATTAAAGGTAGTGTACATGAATTTTCAATGTGTACCATCTAGTTGTCTATATTCAATTGTATAAAAGGTAGTTGAATTGTTTTCTGTTATATACCACATAATTAAATCGATGTAATAGCAATTTCAAATTTTCAAAATATCTAAAATTTATAAGAATATGTAAAATAAAATAGTGGACTGTAAGAGGGAAATGTGACGTGGTTAGGACAGAGAGGAAAGCAAAACATTGTATTGTTTGTAGTTTACGCGAGTAGTACACATTTGAATAAAACACTTCTAACGGTTTAAAATGTGAAATATAATATTTAAACTTATTTTTATTTATCCAAGACAAAGCTTGCTGCAAAAGATTCGAAACATCAGGGCTTTACTTAAAATAACATGTTCGACTTTTATATTTCGCGTTTAAAACCGTAAGTTTTTGAATTAGAAAAACTATATTCAATTGCGACGTTGATGCAGTTGTTCGCTTCTTGCTTCTAATGAGTGTTACAAGGCGAAACAAAAAATATATGAGATGGATATATATATAATATATACAAATTTAAAAGTAGACGATAATATGTTAGATTAAATTTTGGCTGAACCAGCATTTTTATATAGAATCGATCATCCATGAGCCATTAAAACAAATACTAAACCTAGTCATTATTTCATACACTACAGATCGATAGTTAAGTAATTACTGTTTTTTTTTATGAAATCAAAGTATTATTATAATTATGAAAAAAAAAGCTAAAGTCGCTGGTTCTAGTTCCGCTTGTGTCATTTTCTACAGATTTAATCTCGGTTTTGTATATTTAAATATTTGTCGCAATGATGAAACATATATTTACAACTAATTAGTTATTGTCCATATTTAGTACCTTGTCTCAAAACTACCCTCCGTTTTGTTACAATTTTATATGCATTTAATTGGTTTTCTTATACACTGTTTTTTAAATTTAATGTTCTAATATCTTCAAATAGTTTTTAAGATCGTTGCATTTTTTATCGTTTGTATATTTTCATTTTGACGATTATTGTATTTGTTTAAAGTAAAGTGAGATTCAAACGTGTGTTAAACATAAGTGATTTTGTAATTTATAAATGGAAATAGAAAATATTAAATACTTGACGTTTTATTAATAAAACAAGTTATTCTTTAAAACTATTTATTTGTGGTGGGATAAATCACATAGGATCACAGTATTTATCAGCTAAAGACAGTAAAATTAATCATCATTATTATAATTATAAAACATGTAATTTTCTTTTATGAAAATTATATAACTTTAACTGATAGTTATAATAATGAGAAATAAATACACTTTGTTACATAGATTCCGTTTTACGACTTAGATTGTCTCGTAGAGATTTATGTTAATAAAAAAAATATAATTTGCACAAGATAATACAATAAAAGAGCTTACAAAAATGAAAAAAAAAACTACCTTCATTGTAGTCCTATTTTCCAATTATGTTATATTAATAATATTTTAGTTTCAAATATAATAAGACAATATCGGGATCAAACTCAGGCGCATTGCAATTTTTTTAATAAAAAAGTGAATGCCGTTGACGTGGCTTGTTATTCTATAAATATAATTATATGAAATATAGCAGAAATGAAATTCAAAGATAGATTATTTCTGAGATTCAATCAAGTAAAAAAGACTTACTAATGCTTAACGTAAATTAGTCCTCAACTTACCCGTATAGGAACATAATTCACGAATTCTTGAGAACCAACATCGTAAAAGTAAGTACACCAATAAATAAAACACTTTTACCGGTTTGAGTTGCGAAATATATTGGCAACGAGGTGATCACGACTTAAGCAAAGCATCCAACATGTGATGTCATAGTTACAATAAAAAAAAATAAGTTTAATAAAATTAAAAATCTATTATAATTAAAAAAAATTACAACCCACAGCGTACCGTTGCTTTTGCTCTAACCAACTCAGCTACCGTGTCACAGAACTCTGTGGATCAAGTCCTGCCCGTGTCGTATTTTTTTTTAATCTACGACAAATTTTTAATTTTGCCATCATGTGAAAAATATTAGTTTTCGAAAGTTAAATTACTATATTTCGCGTTTAAAATCGTTAAAAGTGGTTTATATTGAAATGTTTATATGGCGTTAACTATTGACAAGATCAATTGGTGAAAATAGCTTGCTCATAAAGTCAACCCAACGAGTAACTGTTTCACATCAGCTGGTCGATCTACCTTCATGAGATTCTTAAACGCCCTGATGATATTAGCCTCCGTCTCCAGCTGTTTGGATATCGCCCTGGCCCTGCGCGTAATCTCTGGGGGTATGCCTGCCAGACGAGCCGCGTTGAACCCATAGGATTTCGGACAAGCGCCAGGCGACAACTTGTAGAGGAACGTTATCGTCTCTTCTGGAATGTTCTCTTCTGTTTCCGTTACTTCTTCTATCTCTACCATACACGCCTGGAACGACAATAAAGCGTAAGACAATTCATAGAACAACGCTCTCTGTGTAGTACTGTACTTACAGTTGAGCATTTTAAACGGATCAAGAGACACATTTTTGTGTCTATTTTAGTACATAAAAGTGAATAGTTTACTAGACCTTTGTGCACCATTTGGTCTATGCTTCGAAATTACATTAAATTAAAAAATGATATCCGAATAAATCAGTAGGTATAGCTGTGGTCGTGGATTCGATTCCCGCTCGTGTTATCGATTCCAATCAAAAATACAAGATAGAAGTAATAAGATAACTCCTCCATAGAGACACAGATCAAGATGAGACATATTTCTGTGTCTATTTTAGTGAAAAATCGTTAATTAAACAAAGTGATAACCGAGGTCGTGAGTTCCAATCCCGGCGTATCATTTCAGTCAGAAATATACTTTAGAAGTTTAGAGAATTAATAAATATCTCTTACCATATGACCTAGCTGTACTGCGGAGTGAGTGCCCAGGTGTTTAACGAGAGAATGGTAATGAGTAGAGAAGATAACTCTACAATGTCGTTCAGCCAGCTCAGCACAGACACCGCTCGCTATAGCGGTACCATCGTATGTACTCGTACCGCGACCTAAAGTAATAAATATTTATATCATTTTTCGAACCTACGACCCATTGATCATTAAACATTTTGCTATCATGGACCAATAAATAGTTAAAACGTAAAATAAAACCAAAATTTAGTACTGAATTGAAAGCACCCAGATAGTTTCTACACATATTTATTACGAAACAGATGGCGCCAGCGTAGCAGTAATTTGACGTAAAGGACGAACGCCATCTTGGATTTTCAACTTACCCAATTCGTCTAGCAAAACTAGAGAGTGTGGTGTAGCGTGTTTTATTATGGCAGCCGTTTCGTTCATTTCAACGAGGAAGGTAGATTGTCCGGACAAAATGTCGTCCGACGCGCCCAGCCTCGTGAAAATGCGGTCCACTAAGCTCAACTTGCACTCTTGCGCAGGTACATAACTACCCTGGATACCGAAACGAATAAAACATGTTACATTATGTGTTATACATAGGCATAAAGCCGCCGTCTGTCATAAATTCCATAAATTTTATTTTCTTTGTTCCTGTCTTTTTTTATTATCAATCTGTTGAAGTAGCATTAATTTTGTATTGTGCACTGAGCAACAGCTTAGAGAAACTAATATCATACTATACAGCTGTTTCGTTAGTCTAATGGTCGGCTTGACTGCAGATCACGAGGTCCCGAGTTCGAGTCCTAGTACCTGGTACCAGGTGGAGCTTGGGAGTAGAAGACAATATCACAGGCCTTGGACACTACGTTAAGCATTAGCTCCCAGTTACCAGCTCTTTAAATGCTCTCCTATAAGCCCAATAGTGGGACATTTATAAGCTGAAAAGATAAAAAAAATATATATCTACCAAATGTGCCAAGACAGTAAGCAATCCAACTTGTCTCATGAGAGTAGACTTCCCGCCCATGTTTGGTCCTGTAAGAAGTAGTAGACTTCTTCTGTCCTCGCCTAGTGCTGTGTCGTTTGGGATGAAATCGTTCACTATCGGTATACATGGATGACGTCCTTCTACTATATTTATGTAGGGCTGGAAAAAAGAAAGTCTTCAATTATATCGCATAAAACAAAACTGCTCGAAAGGGTGTCTTTAATCAATATTTAAACGATAAAAATTCTTGGGGCTCCGAGGACCCGCCCTAACAAGAATATGTTGTTCACTTAAAATACGTGAAGACTGTAAAATAAAACTTGGCGATAAAAGGAGTGGCGGCGAGTTTATTGCCAGTTCTTCTCGATCGTTCTACGCCCTTGATTTGAGAACTCGTAGGAAATATATATTTAGACACTTTAGTTTTTAACTGGTGTGGCGTTCATATGTGTTTAGTCAATAAACGATTTTTAACTTTGGCTTTATTACTTAAATCTTTTTGCTAAATTTTACAATCTATGAACTATTCAAATAAAATACTTTAACGGTTTAAAACGCGATATATTAGTTAAACTTATTTAAAAATGATCTTTAACTTCGGCCCGACGTTTAACATACAAATATATCGCGCTTTAAACCGTTAAAGTGTTTTATTTAAATGTGTACTACTCGCGTAAACTACAGACAGTATTTAACTTATGTTCGACGTAGTCCTTAGTCTGGTGGTGGTGTATGCCTAATAATCATCGGGTCGTCGTTCACATTCTATCAACTGACCCACATGCTGTCCTCCTTATCATAAAAACATGTCAAAAACTTAATAATATTCTTATTAGATTAATTTATTGTCGTTAATACTTACATAATGAAGAAATAATTATAAAAATAAATAGAACTACCCAATCTCCATAGTAACCCCGGCCATAAACGGACATCAAAATTGTCAATACAAAGGTTTTCAATTGAATCATATTTTCTATACCTGTGCATCACAATCAAAGGTAACTTCGGGTAGACAAACATCGCCAGTCTGCAGCCGGGCAAATTCGCTGAGGGACAGTAACACATCGAGCGTAGATATGCATTGCACTGCATTAGACCACTGCGCGTAGTGACTTGAGAACTTCTCGAATATTCTGCGGCTCAAATCTTTTAGTACGACGCGTTTTTGTTCTTCAGCGGCCATCATACGCGCCAAGAAGTCCTAGAACACGATGTACTCGAAATAAAAACAAATAAAAAGATATATTTTTTTTATATTACAATTAAAAAGGTAATTTTATTTCGTTACAGCCATTGTCAATTAATTGTGAAAACGTCCGAAGGGTAGTTAGACATTTTATAAATCTATATTGGACAAAAGGGTTATGTTTTTATACACGTGTTACCGTTACATTGCGTTACGTAAGTAAAATACCAGGTCTGGAGGACATGGGACACATTTCTATTTCTGTTTCTCTAATCGCTTTTATTTACAGCAAATAGTTTTTTAGACTTCTGTCCCTGACTTTCTGACCCTTGCCGACCGAAACCGAATTTAATGTTCCTTGGAATCAAACCAAAAAACCTTTACGCTATTTTAGGCAACGCAACCAATGAGGTATGGGGACGGTTACATAGTGAAACGTCATGATTGTAAATAATATCGACCAGCAAAAGAGATACATAAATATGTCTATTACATCGAATAGACCTTAACTGTACCTTAGTTTCGGCTGTCGAAAATCTCTTGAAACCCTTCCTTGCGCCTTCCAGGTGGTAGTCCGAAGCAGCTTTAGCGGCTGCGTTCTGTGGTATTTCTATCTGGTACCTCTTTTTATCGGATCCCACATAGTTCAACTATAAGAAGGGAAAATCGCTGTAGTATCGTAATTCTTAGGTACATTATTTTAATTAGACGTAAATTCAAGATTGACAAATAACTTTGCCTTTTTAAACATTTCTAGTTTTTATTAGAATTAATTGTATCGCCTAATATACCTATGCACCTTTTCTTATATATTGTTTCCATCGAATTAAGTCCCACAGCTGGGCATACACTTTTCTCTTAAGAACAGATTTGAAAAAAATTATATAAAAATTTTAAAAATGAAAAATGTCAGAATAAATTTCATATATTTGGTTATACTCTACGAAAAACAAATAACTGTACGTTAGCTGCGTAATATAGTAATATAATTTGAGTACATCTATTAAACCGTTAAATATTAAATAAAACACATTGGAGGTTTCAAACGTGAAAAATTATAAAAGTCAAATGATTGATGAAATTTGATGACGAAGCACCTCCGTGACCGTATATCGCGAGGCTTTTAAATTTTTAAACGCGGGTCATAGTTATATTTCGCGTTTTAAACCGTTAAAATTGTTGTATTCAATACATTTATTATCTATTCCTTACACGACATTTGAAATATTTTTCCTGTTCAGCAAGATACTCCTTCAGTTCATCTTCGATATCCTTGATGAGAAGTAACGTGTTGTCGTACTCTTGGTCCACACCAGCTCCAGGAAGAATTATGCCTTCCTTCTCCGCTTGAGCTTGGTTAAACGCCTCCTATGGGTACAGCAAAGAAGCTTGATGTTGGTTAACATACCCCACCCATATCACATCTAAACAATTGTGTCGATCTTTATTGGCTTTGGGTATTGGAACGAGCGTAGTACGTCGGTAGAAGGTGGTTTGTAACACGGACGGAATTTTGACATTCTCACCAACCTTTTATATCTAGACTTCCAGAATTATTTTGGTTTCAGAAAAATTATATACTGATTGGAAGAATGTTGTTCATGACCAGCGGTAAGCTATATATTGCTACCATTACCCCGGAGGGGCCATCACAAAGCACTAATTTTACGAAAATATTAGAAGGGGGGGCCGAACACCCACAATTATCCCCAGGTGGAAATGCATTATCTCACCTTAAAGAACTTTAAAGTCTTCGTATAGTCCGGGAATTTGCCATCTGGAGCGAGCTGGGTAATTCTCTTCAGAAGTGCTGAGTCAGTCTCACTGAACAGGTCACTGAGCTTCAGCGCCGCGTTGTATCCGTTGAGTATGGAGATGAAATCTAGAACTTTCCTCTTCGAATAGGTCTTCTCCTCGTATAGGATTGCTCGAGAATCGGGGTGTTCTTTCGATTTCTTTAAGTTGCCAAGCGCGTGGACCCTGTTTCAGGTTAAACGTTTTAAGGTTAACAACGGTTTCAAACACGAAATGTATTGGTTAATCATTTACAACATATTTTATCTACAGTTTGTCTCCTGTAGGAATAAGAGGAGAAATAAAATTAGTCTGTTAAAAAACATTGTATCACAATCTGTCCTTTTTATGAACACTCAGTACGTACTTTGCCAACAACCGTTCCAAATCTGGCAGCGAAGCAAGAACGCTCTTAGCCTCTTGACACAAGTTCTGGTCTTCGAAAAGCGCCTTGATTGCTTCCTGCCGTTCTTTGATCACTTTGATGTCACTACTCGGTGAACAAACCCATTGATAGAGTAATCTGTGGATTTATAAAAGTTTGTTAATTGGTTATTTTGTTTTTAATTTGTGTAACACATGTTTTACCCAAAATTTAAGCAAAAAACCATAATGAAACACAAGAAAACCGAGCTTCAGAAATAAAAGTTACAAATCCAGCAACTCACTAAATCTCCCCCCTTCTCTTCTCTTGCAATGATCTTAATAGTTAGCCCGATTGGTAACGAGTGTTTTTAATAAAGTTACAATAACGGATTAATATTTATAAACGGATTAAATTAAGGTTATATAAGTAAGATAAGCACCGTAAAATTGACGTATATTGACAATTCATTGGCTAATTGAGGTGGAAATTTGTATAATTGTCTTTTAACGGTTTAAAACGCAAAGTGCATTAAATTTGTTTTACTACAGCCCTATGTATTGGATGTTTTGCAGCAGCTGGTTGAGTTTTGAACCGTTAAAAATGTTGAAATGCTACTACTTGCGTAAACTACAGACAATACAACCTTATGACGATTAATATGTATTTTACCTCTTTCCCATAGGTGTAGAGCACATATTGAGCTTGTCATAGAGACAACCCTCGTCCTGAACAATTCTTAGGTTTCTCAGAGTGATGGAGTCCAACACCATTGTCGTACCTCCTGTCCACAGATTGGTCTTCTCCGTCTGACTCATGGTCATGCTCGTATTGAAGACATCAGGTGGCGAGTATTCACTAAATTGGGACATTCCTGGAAAATTCATTACTTTTATTAGTAAAGGCTTGTAGCAGATTTGTAACAATGTATGGCTCATGACATCGAGTCTTAAGTTTGATTCCAAGGCTCCCCTTTTTCTAAAAATAACTTTAAATTCTATACTACTTGTGCTTCTTTTTTTAACCTTTACCCTTGTAATTCTTAATTTTAGTACTATGTACGCCTTGAAGCTGTACTTGGGGGGAGGGGGGGCTGCCAGGGCCTCGTTAGATTATGAAATAAATAAATAAAAAAATGTCATAAAAAACAAACAGAAAAGGATCAAAACTTGAACCAAAACTAAACAGTTGGATGTGGGAACAAAGAGAGGATAGCAAACATTTATGACATGTAATTGCTATTTGTGTCATATTTTGGACACAGTCAAAACAATCTTACCTAATATTTGTATGTCCAGTAGACAAGTGGTGAGGTAAGCCACACAACCACCGAGAGCTTTGACGGCCAGATAGCAGTTTGGTGCGGGGGTCAAACCCAGTGCGTCACCTGAAACAGACAAGTGAAAAATTTGTTTAACAGTTTTAGCTGGCACACTGGGTAGTTTGGGTCTGTAGAAGATACATGTCTGATTTTTTGGCTTCTGGACATGTTGTTTTCCACACAAAAATAATTAACAGCTTCAATTTAATGAGGGAGTTGTTGGTCCAATGGTAGCAATGTTTGGCTGATAATAATCAACGTGAGTTCGATCCCCAATTTTTTTCTAGTTAATTTATTTTCTGAAACATGTTAGACTTCGTCTGGAAATCTGGATATAAAATGGGTAGTAGGAGTATCGAAATTCCGTCCGGTTCGCGAAACTGTGAAATTTAACCGCGTGTCAGTTTCAAAATAGGTCAACAGCGCAATTTGTTGCGATGTTATTTGGCTAGGTTATTTTACTTACCAATAATTGACATTTTCACATGAAAAAATACAACTGAGGGTGACCACAGGAAATTATACATTGACTATACAAATAAAACAATAATACTTTTACCACCACCATTCACCGAAATGTAATCACAAAAATATTAAAAAATAAAACTCAATTCGATGAAATAAAAAAATACATGTGCCTAAAAACGGCAGCCTTGTCGCTAAAATGCGATTTCTTACAGACAATCTTGAAGGTGGAGATTTACAATAATAATGATATAAAGTCAAACATTAAAAAAAGTTTATTAATGATAAAAATCTAATAGTCGTAATAGTCTATGGTATACTTAATAGTTTTAAACTATATACATTTTACTAACTTTTAACTTTTAAACAGTTTTGAAGTCAGCGTCTATAAAATCAAATTGTGTCAAAGTAATTTGGACCTTACCTTCATGTAAAAACGATTTTATTCCCTCTGGCCACTCTCCGTTATCACCGGTCATATAATACTTCTCGGCTAAGAGTTTCAAAGTCTTCTCGGGTGGGGTCATGGTCTGCGTCTCTCTTCTCGCGCTATGACAGTGCGTTGCTAGGAGTTTGCTAGTGCGTAGAGTGCATGACTTACGATCGTAGATGATCTAGAATAATGGCAGGATATTGATTGTATTTTATTGTGGAGCGATTCATCAAATTTTATCAAAATTTGATTAATATAGAGTGAGGAGAGCAACAAATATTAACCAGATGGTTCAGTAAACCAGTCAATTAGCAATTTTTTTTAAAGCAACTAAAATTCTGTGTTATCCACAGTTTTGCCAAAAATACAAACAAACATGCACACAACGGAAATTTCAGCTTACAGCAGAAGCAGTATTTTTTATCTTTTTCGTAACAGTGGAGGACAAAGACTGCACACAAGATGCACTCCTACCTATTTTGTCTGAAAATCCATCTCCTTCCTTTTCTGTCTGTACATTATGAAAATGACTATGCGAATTTAGAATTTCAGACTAAAAAACGCGATTACATTTGAAAACTTTAATAATTTTCCTCATGATATCACTATATAAATTAAAATTTGACTTTAGGTAAAAAATTATGACATGGACAGGACTACTTACTGACACGGTAGCTCAATTGGTTCGAGCAATAGCACGGAACGCCGTGGATGCCGGTTCAAGTCCTGCCTGTATCATATTTTTTAAAACTAAGATTGATTTTTAATTAACGGAATTACATCACGGCTTTACCTGCCGACAGTATTTGTGACGTGCCAGAACTTCCACCACCCATTTAATTCTTAAACACGCTAACAATGTTTTACATAACAGATGAAGGAATATAGCTGTTATATATTATTCAAAACACTCACCAAAGCCGGTGGAAAGTGAGCAAGTGTTGTGAGCAGTCTGGAGGAATGCTTATCGTCCTTGAATTGGCCCATGTGAAACTGGCCTATTGATGTATCCACGAAGCACACACCGTATGTACTGATACCGTTGTTTTCCTAAAAGTCAACAAATATATCAGAATCAAATTATGACATTGTAAATATAGTAATACATAGTTAATCGCAGATTTGATGTTCATTGGATTCAACTTGAATTTTTTTTTTTCTGAAATATAATTTACAGGACAGTAAGTAGAAGGAATAACGAAATTACGTTCGGGTCACGAAGCACCACAAATACTGAAAAAATCCGCGAAATCGCGTTTTGGTTAATCTATAAGTTCAATGCCAACATAGGCCCACAACACATTTAACATTGTGTTAATAATTTTAAATATGAATAGTGAAATAATACAAAGAAAGTTTATTTATATAATGATCATTCGCCTTCTCTCAAATGGTTAAACATGTTACCTAGGTCGAACGAAGTTGGGTATGCCGTACCTGACCGAAAGAATAGATTCTTTCGGTTGGACTGATCATTGTAACGGACACAGAAAAGTGTTCGCCCATGCTCACGAGGGGAAACTGGAGCGCAATTGGGAATAAGAAGGAATGTTAAGTAGAGAAATGCGACTCACCTCTTCGGCAATGGCCATCATGAAGGCCGAGTTGGAGTCAGCAGGGCCTGTATCTTGCACGCCACACACTTGAGCACCGCGGACTGCTACCTGGCATATCTCCCGACGCACCACCTTGTCATATTTACTCGACTTTTGTTCTAAAAAGCATTGTATGGTTTGTAATAAACAATTTTATTTTTTTAAGCACTCAAAGAATTAAAGTATGTATATTATTAGAAACATATATATAATAGTGTGTCGTAGGTTTGATTACTACTGTTTTCCAATTTTTTTGTTTGCTGACCCGTTTGAAAGGTCTTGGACATTAAAATGGCAACGTTTAGGAAAATCAAGATCATACCAGCCATGAACTATCGTCCACAGATGGTAAAGCCGTAAAGTTTAAATCCACGCTTTACTTTGAATTAGATAGAGTTTTATGGCTGGGATTGTTATTAACCCTAATGTTCAATCCGTTGGACGTAATCGTGACACTGGTTTGTGACCTGGACGAAATTTCGATATTCCTTCCACCCATTTAAAATACAGATTTTCAGACAAAGTCCAACATGATTTTGAGAACCTATACATTTATTATAAACATATTGGACTCGATGGGGGTCAAATACACGACCAGTTGATAATTAGCCATGCATTACTGCCATTAGACCAACAAGCCTCCCAAACATTGTCTCTACATATATTGCTCTCAATAATGATAGCTGCTCTAGTACAATACTTCTCCAAGTGCTTACCTCGTTTACATCTCTCTTGCATCATATCAGGAGTCTCAGTTTGCTCCACGCGAGCCACTTTATAACCCTTCGACACCAGGGTCGACGACATACGGGCGTAAGCACTCTCAGGGAACCCGGAATGGGCAAATTCACCCTGAAATATTTAAATGGTAAAGCTCTTATTATTTTCTGTCGGGCACAACGATACTAACCATTAAGGTTTTTTATGTTAGAGTAGAACAGACAAGATAAGAGATGAAATACCTACCCCCAAATTATGTCATCTCACCAGATGCCTGTCGTTGTATTTTTGGGTTTTGATATTCGGGAACATATAGGTTACTCTTGTAAATATTCCGTTTTATTAAAATAACCAACCGTATACATACATACTTGAGTTTTAAAGTTGAAATACATATACTGTCTATAGTTTAATGCATACACATACAGTTAAATAAAACTAAAATATTAGTTAAACTTAATTTTTATTAATTTTAAGTACGACATACCTCCAATCCCCCCTATAATAACATTTGCTGCAAAACATCTTAGATAAGAGTTTAATTTCAAGTGTTTTATTCAAATCTTTACCTTCATATAAGAAAAGCCGAGTTCGTTCACGCCTACTGCAGCATCCATATGGTACAGCTCGTAGAATTTGCCAACTTTGAAGAATAAAACGCAATCGTAATGCGCCGATTTCAATTCCCACCACTGCCTATGTGCCTGAAAGGACAGAATATTTTTAAGAGGATTAAATCTTTGCACAAACTATGTGAAGCAATCTAGGTAAGCTGGTACCGGTGGTGGTAAGTGTAGTTGGTATTGATAAAACTCGCGTAAGCATACAATACCTGATTTATAATTCGTGAGATGGAAGGGAGGAGATAATGTTAATAGACATATTTGTGATTGATACCACGATTAATAGATATTGTAACCTTATCACATAAATGATAGTACTTTTATACTAAGAGTTAAGCCATTCATACTAAACGATTCTGTAACCATTATCCAATATATCAAAAATGCACAATTTTGACATTAAAGTTTATGCAATGGCACTACCAAAGTATACATCAACATATTGGTTTACTAATAACAAATTTCAAAGTAGTTAAGCAATGTGGGTCTGACTTTCGTTGTGTTGGGATTCAATTCCCAGTTAGGCATACTTTGTGTACCATGAGAATCAAAATGTCATGTTATCAACATGCATTAGGCACATCAAAGGCTAAACCTCCTTGGGAAAATTATGAGGCCACCACCCCACCACCACAGCCACATATTGAAGGGATTGAAGTTATTAAACAATAATAATAATAAATACCGGTGTCTGCGAGTTCATAAAATCCTTAGGCACATAAAGTGTAGTGGGATCATATTCTGGATGATCAGGCCTCCGCCCTTTAGCATCCTTGATTTTGTCTTGTTTCAGCCATTCCAGTTTACAGTGCACCCAATCACCTTCTTCAGCAATCACAGGTTTCTCTTGAGGATCACACTTAATCTGAGGTCTAAAATTAATTGACATAAGTTTCATTTAAAAACTTTAGGCTATTTTTATAGTTTTAATAGAAATAGCAATTGTTGCGTTTTTATGTAAAGGGCATACATAGAACTTACAGGAGAATGTACGTTCCAGAGCAGTGAATGAGCTGGTGTAATTTAAGATATACAAACAAAATATTCTACACTAGCTGGTGCCTGTGACTTCGTCTATGCAGGATTAGGAGTACGAAGCATCGCGCATTTAAACTAAATGATGTGTATCAGATCATACATTACATAATTATGTGTAACTAATGTCTATAGCAGCGCATTAGAATAGCTTGCAAAAAGGTAGGTTTTTTCCTAGTTACTTGACACTTAATGTCATATTTTGGACAGCTCACACAATATCTTTATAAATTGTAGCCTATGTTATTCTGATATATAAACTACATTATTGGAAAGTTTAATTGAAATCCATTTAGTAGTTTTTGTATGAAAGAGTAACAAACATCCATCCACACATACAAACTTTCATGTTTATAATATTAATTGGAAATAGGAAGGATATAACTTACACATTATCTTTTTTTGTTTTCTTCCCTTTAGGTGAATCATTTGGTTCATACTTAAAACTGTCCTGCAGTTTCTTGCCAAATGATGTCTTTTCTGTAGGAGATTCATTTTTATTGTCTACTGAAAAGAGTAAAAATATTTGTATCACTTAGAAATTATTCAAGGTTTAAGTATATGAACAAAAACAAAACAAATTAATTACCTTTATTTTCTGCATCAGAGTCATCAGAATCTAAAGGGTTAAGACGAATTCTCTTTCTCCTTTTAGGTGCAATAGGAGATTCATCCTCTTTATTTTGTTGTACTTCAGGCGAAGGTGTTATCTGCCTTTCCCTTTTCATACCTATCAAAGTAAATTTAAAAACTATGATTTAGTTAAGAACACAAATTAAAATAATCTAGTTAAGTTTATATGTTTATAAACAAAGCCATACAAACAAGATCAGCTAAAGTACTTACTTTCTGAGCCATTCTCAATGTCCGAAGCCGGATTTACTTTGATTGCAGTATCAACATTTAGATTTAATTTAACCTTTTTGTTATTTGGAGGTGTTTTAGAAAAGTAGTTAAATAATGTATTAGCCGTCCCTACACTATTTCGTTTGGACATTATTGCGGAAACTTAATTAAAACGGATTTAAACAGGTGTTTTAAAAAATTTGTATGTATGAGATTACAATAAATTTTACTACATTACTACTTTAAGACAAAGGAAGGAAACGATAGGCTTTTGCGTTTTATATGCTTAAATGTTTTTTTTTTGCATTTATATATACAATAAACACCTTTATTATTTCTATGTATTTAAATTTTAAGAATGTTCTGCTAGATTACCGCGAATTTGCGCGGTTTTTCCAAATGACATATGGTAGGAATTAGACTTAAGCTGTCATGAAAAGGCAATGACAGATTTACAGATCAAGAGCAGGGTGTTGTCCCGAAATTCGATTATTTATAATTAATCAATAATATAATAAATTATAGATAATGTATGTCAATGTTTAAAGTATATTTTTTTCTTTTAGCTCCATCCAAATAGGTGTGTTCAACAAACACACATTACACGTTCAAAATGATTTTTTAATATCGTGATTTTTCTTTATGCCATTGGTCAAAAAATAAAAAAAAAATATGAATAATTTATATTATACGCCTTGTCGTTCCTCCCATAGACAACTTCAGAATGGGTAAGCCATCAAACTGAGTAGATTCAAATCTCGGAAATGAAATCCAAACAATTTTAGTTTCCTTACTAAATAGCTTTTAGCCAATTATATGTATCACTGTAGTTATTTTATTTTTAAATAGAATCCTAATTATTTTAAATAGCGTAGCTCAAATATGATTAAATATCGGTGTTATTGATCTTTGAAGTCTAGATTTGCAGAATACAAATAAATAATAAAATTTAAATGTATGTTATTAAGGAACAGAAACAATTAAAGCTAGATGATCATCAATCTACACACTTTGTTGACCATTCACCCACGTTATATAAATACCAATAAAACAAAAGAACTTTGTATTTGTTTACTATGTATTTAATAATATTTGCATATTAGGCTGTATGTCAGATATCAAAAATTTACATTATGGCAAAATGTTTGGTTCAAATGACAGTTATTTAATTATAACAGCATTTTTTGGAATGTTACCCTTAATTATCTAAAATAAATGTATAAACCTAGAAATAATGTACTCACTGAATTTTTACAGCTATATTCTAATATTATGAAAATTAAACAATACGTACCTACCGTAAATAATACATATAGATAAAACAGAATTCTAAAATAACTTTTTTACACAAGTATATGGAGTGATAAACTTTTGAAGCATGAAATGACAAAATAAAATTTTATAAACGATAATTCTAATAAATGAAACATTTAATTACAAATACTATACTAACTAGCGTATATCCAATCTACAAAATAATAAATATTATATAGACAAAATAATTTGTGTGTCAAATAGTAATTATGTTAGGCTATAGTTTATAGACCCAAAAAATATAGATAAAAACATTACATTTAAAAGAAACTTGAAGTCAGTCTTTACATAATAATCTGTGGTTCAGGCACAGACAAGGCAATGGACTTGTGGGGTAGAACTTGTCCACCATTAACATAAAGTTCATCCTTAACAATAACATCTTCCCCAAGAACAGTGCAGTTCTCCATTCTGACCCAGCGTCCAACAACTGATCGCCAGCCAACTATACATCCATCAAGCCAAGCATGCTGTCTTACACAGGCTCCTCGTAATATTGTGCTGCGTTTAATACAAGCACCTGTAACAAAAAAATTGTATGATAAAGTTTTGACATATTACAAGTTTAAAATTAAAAGTAAGGAATTTAATTTTTGTATTAATTAATGAATTAATACAAATTAAAGTGTTCTAGGCTCTATTATTATATGCACTAGGTTCGACTTCCAAATGTGCAGCAGAAATATCTTTTTCTACTCACCAATATATGTTATTAGATGAAATAAACAACTGTGGAAGAAGGAATTCTATAAAATATCATCTGGCAACATGGATAATGCCTTTAAGAGGCCCAAATCCAGCATTGGGAAGTCATAAATTAATTACAATAATAAAAATGAAATGATATTGATCATCAAATCGTACCATCTTCTATAACAACATCAGGACCAATAGTGACATTGGGCCCAATCCGACATCCCTTGCCAATCGTAGCAGAAGGGTCAATCAACACATTACCAACTACATCTGCCCCATCATGCAGTTTATTTGAGTTCTTTTGTCTTAAACTGTTTAAGTAGAGGCACATTCCTGTAAAGAGGGGATTCATATGGAATAAAGTTGAATTACAAACTAAATGAAGAAGGAATTATCATTTTCTTTTGAAAAAAAATTATAAAAGTATACTATTTGAACAGATTGATGAAAAAAAATATTAGGCCTGCAAACACCTGTTCAATCAATTTTAACAAAACAAACAAGAAGTTTCATATAAAATACCTGTTAAAAAGTCTTTTGGCTGACCTACATCCATCCAAAATCCTTGTAGTTCCATGGCATATAGCTGACCATCTTGAGCCATGAAAGGGAATACCTCTTTTTCTATTGAGGTAGGACGTAACTCTATCCTGCTTAATACTGAGGGATTGAGTATATAAATACCTGAAAAATTATTATTTTTTCTTACAAATACATTTTCATTTGCTAAATAAATAGAAATTATGATACTAACTTGAATAACCGAGATGGCATATAAATTATATATTTGCTGCAATATTCATAATATTGCATTATCTAGGTTACTTAAATAGATAAGTACTAATCTGTGTATGAAGTGATAAATTGTACCGGATATTGCCTTTTTTAATGATAGGACTGTATTTACTAAACTGTATTTTTTGTTTTAAATAATTTTTGTATACCTGCATTGATTTTGTTTGAAATGAATTCTTGTGGTTTTTCAACAAAACTCTCTATTTCACCATTTTCTTTGTAAACTACTACTCCATACTTAGACGGTTCTTCTACTTTAGTAACTACTATAGTACCTTCCTGAAATAATGTTTTATTTAATATATTACTTAAAACACTTAGAAAAAAATATAGTTTTAAGGTTATCATTAATTTAATATCTTTGTCTTACTTTGCCGTGATTTCTATGGAACTTCGCAAGATCTTTGAAAGGGAAGTCACATATAACATCAGAATTGAGTACAAAAAATGGTTCACTACTAGTACACAATAATTCCCTTGCTAATGCCAATGGCCCTGCTGTACCCAAAGGTTCTGTTTCGTGAGAAAATGTTAGAGACACTCCAAGCTTTGATACTTGTTCTGTCAACTCCTTCTCCATGTCCTCGGCTCTGTATGAGACAGCTAAAATTACCTACAAAGCAAGTTCAAGTTACTTAAAACACTAGAACATTTTCAAACACATAAAGTACGCGAAGCAAGAGACTTACTTCTGTAACTCCAGCGTCGACCAAAGCTTCTATCTGATGCATAAGAATAGGTTTATTAGCAAATTCTACTAAAGGCTTTGGTCTACTCAACGTCAGTGGCCTTAGACGTGTCCCATACCCACCGACGAGAATTAACGCACGTAAATCACCCAATTTCTTATCAGAACCACACATGTTGGCTAACTTAGGTAGGAAATTGTAAATGTGATGTTATAAAGGCGTTTAAGTATTTACATTAAACAAAACAATAAACGGATAACGAATAACCAGGGATTACGTGGCGATCGCTCTATTGGTAATTTTATAGATGAAATCGTATGATGACGTCTACAAAATTCGAAATTGTATATTAAAAGTAGAATTATTGGGTTGATAAAATCACGGGAAGTTATCTTATTTATTTTGGTATATCATTATTATGAAAAATGATATTGGCTATATAGTGTCAATAATGTGAGTAGCACTGAGAACTATTAATCTGTGGTTTTAAATTTACGTTAAAGAAGATACTTTTCTGTTTATAAAAAAATAATGGCAAATTCTATTTAAACTCATTACAATTTTCAAGATATATTGATTAAAATAGTTATTTTAATTTAATTAAATTCGCTTAGCAAATAAAATAAACACCGGACATAAAAATTGATGAATTGGTGTTTGTAGTAATAGGAAAGTTTGCGGAAGGAGGATCTTCTGTAGAGACTGCAGACTGTGCCTTCATTTTGACCTTGATTATGACATTTCATTTACCATCAAAAGTGTAATTGTATACTGTCAAAGTCAAACTACTATTTTATTAATCAATTTACGATTTACGTCATTACGTAATGGCTGCAGTTTGTCATTGTCATAAAAATCTTTAAAAAGATCTATTCTTCAATAAAATCATGGCTGTCCCATTCCGGATTCTTTCGCGCTGTAAAGGTAAATTATATATATGTCTACTAAAGATGATTTGATACGTGCGATCAATGATTTTTATCACATAGCCCTGTAATTCTTGTCTCTCCTATCCACATTTAGTAGCCTTGATTTTTCATTATTAGCCTTGTGGTATGCCCAATGTCTATTCATTAAAGTAGTTTGATCAATGGTGTAACGTTTTGTTACTCTATTTATCTATGCAGATGAACTAGATAAGAATTTTGTTATAAACAAGCATGCAAGCAACACTTGTGTTTTACGTTTCTAGCGGTCAATGTTACGTAGATCTTACGCTAAAAATACCTTTTTAAGGAACAACTAAATGTAAGCAATTGTATGTACTGCAGTATGTTTGTATGAGATTAGATATTAATATTGTGAAAAGAAGTTCTCTGCACTTCAACCTCTGATAGTGGTGTTACTTATCTCAAAATAATGTTATTGTTTTTATTTCTTATAATTTTAAAACTATATCTTATCAAGTCAATAAAATAATGAAAGCTTCTGTGTACCCTTAAAAAAAGAAATTCATATTTTAATTTTTTGGGTTAGCACCCATTTGCCATGGTAGTTATTTTCTAATAAATTAAAGCACATCATTAAAAAACTGTGAAATTCTTTTGTGTTTTATTTGCAGATGGATTGAAGCTTTGCAATGTCAGATTCCAATCTCAATATGCAGAGACAAGAAAAAACTTAGTACTCTCAAAAGACACTAAGGTCATAGTTCAGGGTTTCACTGGTAAACAGGGAACCTTCCACAGCCAGCAAGCACTAGACTATGGGACAAATGTAGTTGGTGGGGTTTCGCCTAAGAAGGCTGGTAGTGAACATCTTGGAAAGCCTGTTTTTGCAACTGTTAAGGAGGCGAAAGAGAAGACAGGTGCACAGGCATCTGTCATTTATGTCCCACCACCTGCTGCAGCCGCAGCCATTATGGAATCAATTGAAGCTGAAGTTCCATTGATAGTGTGCATCACTGAGGGAGTGCCTCAACATGTAAATAATTCTATTTAGTACCAGTTTATATATGAAATTTAAATATATTGTAAATACTTATAATAATAATAATATTTTTACAGGATATGGTTCGTGTTAAGCATGCTCTACTTCGACAAAACAAGTCAAGGCTGGTAGGACCTAACTGCCCTGGTATTATTGCACCAGAGAAGTGCAAGATTGGTATCATGCCGGCTGCTGTACATAAGGCTGGATGTATAGGAGTTGTGTCACGGTCTGGAACACTTACTTATGAGGCCTGCCATCAGACTACAACAGTAAGTTTGTATAGTAGTAGTATTAGTTATTACATGCACCACATAGGGTTACATCAGAAAATAATGGATCAATTGCTTAGCTACAACTTTTTATCATTGTATGTTTAACCAAACAGAGTACATAAAAAATTTAACCTCAAAATAAGGCAAATTAATTGTTGACTTTGCCTAAACTACACACAGTATTTAACTATAAGGTATTTTAGTTACAGAATTATAACATATTAATAAGGCCTTATAACAAAATATAAATGTAATATAATATCTAAGTTGCAAGGTTAATTAAAAACCACAGATAGACTTATTAATGTTATAATGAGAGTTTTTGTTCACATTCAGAAAGTTATACTTTGGAATGAAAGGATATATAATTTTATGACGCGAGTATCACTAAACCTTTGCAATTTTTGGCTTTATATAATTGATCAATATTAGTTGATCATGCTTCTTGTGGTTAGTGACTATGAACTTGAGAATTTGTGCTTTGTTGCGTAAGTGTAGATCACGCTATCGCGCGTCATAACTTCGTTATTTTGCCTAATTTTGGAGATAGTTTTTGTTGTTCTAAAGTTAATGTAAGAAATATAATTTATCAAAAAAAAATTCGTCAATATTTCGACTTTTCAAAAATGTAAAGATAAATTTCTAAATACTGTCTGTAGTTTATGCGAGTAGTACACATTTAAATAAAATACTTTAACGGTTTAAAACGCGATACATAAGTTAAGCTTATTTGAAAATGATTTTTAACTTCGGTACGACGTTTCGGATGCTTTGGACGCACGGGGAGACTAAAGATGGAGGATGCCTCTGACGTCAAAGTACATAATGGCTACTTGCTTACTAACAGAATTGACTAACGGTGTCTCCGCGAAGACACCAGAAGCATTTTTTTACTTTGACGTCAGAGACATCCTCCATCTTTAGTCTCCCCGTGACCACGGCTGCTGCAAAGCATCTGAAACGTCGGGCCGAAGTTAAAAATCATTTCCAAATAAGTTTAACTAATATATCGCGTTTTAAACCGTTAAAGTGTTTTATTTCAAAGATTTCTATTTTCACTAGGTATATGCGTTTTGAATACAATATTCGCTACAAAGTAATTAACCGTTAAGTCCTTTTATTTATATTATTTTTAGTACACAATTAAAAAAAGAAGAAAGTTAAGACACGATAAAGTTAATTAGTGAATAATTATTATCGAGGCATATATAACATTAACCTTAACATCAAATTTCATATAATATTTATTTAAATGTCCTTAAGGAAGAAGTCCATTCTAATGGTTTTATTTATTTGTATACTATTATATAAAGCTGAAGAGTTCATTTTGTTGGAACGCGCTTATCTCAGGAACTACGGGATCGAATTGAAAAATGTTGTGTTCTTTTTATTCTTGTTAGAGCGTTTATCGAGAAAGGCTATAAAACATTACGCTGTGACTAATAACAGCGAAGAAACAGCGGGAAATGTGGAAAAAGTGGGAAATTATTCATCTCTTGAGTGTTTCCGATGCGTACGCTGCTAAAGCTGTTTAAGATACCCAAAAAATATGTATGAAAGAAGGATTTCTCTTTAAGTGATCTAAAGTCCGCGACGCAATATATAATAACGACGTGGGTAACAGCTTAAGTTTATAAAGGTGAAGGGTTTGCATTAACGAATTTGGATGTCCTAAATAACGATTCTCGCGAACGAAGTCGCTGACACAGCTAGTCCTACTAATATTATAAACGTGAAAGTTTGTATGTGTGGATGGATGTTTGTTACTCTTTCACGCAAAAACTACTGAATGGATCTCAATTAAACTTCCCTATAATACAGCTTATATATCAAAATAACTCATAGGCTACAATTTATAAAGATATTGCGTGAGCTGTCCAAAATATGACATTAAGTGTCAAGTAACTAGGAAAAAAACCTACCTTTCCGATTCCTGCGCTGCCATAAACGTTAGTTACACATATTTATGTGATAAAGTTAGTTCTTTTATACGCCACGCTAATATAAGCTATTCCAAATACTAATTCTGCGTAGACGAAGTCGCGGGCACTAGCTATTTCATTATAAAGAATTACTTTAAACAAATTAAACCGCAAAGTTTTGTATAAACCTAGTTTAAATTTGTCGAAAGTCGTTTTATAATGCATACTACTTGAGTGAAGTGCAGGTACAATTTAGTCTCATCTAGTATTAAGAACGTATAAAACGATCGCAAATCAACCAGTAACTAGTTTCTAGAGTTCATTGAATGAGGCAAAGTGCAAAGTAAATGGCTTCCATTCAAAGGTCGAATTGATATATTGTTCTATGAATGTTTACCTATTTCTGTTCTAAATATGTTTGCTCAGACATCGAAAAAAAATGCAATCCATATCAATTCTGTGTTTCGTTAAGAAATAATTTAACAATAATTCTCCTAATTACAGACCGGTCTCGGCCAGACCTTATGTGTCGGCATTGGTGGTGATCCTTTCAATGGAACTGACTTCATCGACTGCTTAGAAGTATTCCTTAATGATCCAAATACCAAAGGAATCATTCTTATTGGAGAAATTGGTGGTAACGCTGAAGAATTAGCATCGGAATACCTCATTCAGAACAACACTGTAAGTTGTAGTTGCATAGCAAGTTATAAATTTAAATAATTATAATTTTTATAACGAAAAGCGCGTTGAAGGTTATGTTGTATAAATGAAATAAGTATTTATGTGAGATTACAAAATTGATGACATACACGTGACTTGAACCCATGACTTACAAACTATCTTCACCAATTATGATTATCGTGGCTGTGGGCTCAAGTTCCACATGGGGCATATTTAGTTTGAATTTGTTTTGTTTTTATTTGTTTATCATGCTAAGTATTTTCTTTTTGTCTTGACAGAGCAAGGTAATCACTGGCAGCAAAGGTTATATTTATTTTTTAAACATCAAACATTGATCACACTTCTCTTCTTATAGTGTACAATTTGTTTGAATGTCCTATTTTGTCTATTTCATCTGTTGCATTTTGCTATCATATTTCACATACCCTTATGTCACAGTTATGCACATTACTGCAAATACATGCATAATTATTATTATTACATACTCTAAGTTACATTTATAACATTATTCACATTTACTATTTAATTATTTGAACAGAATGGTATGCAGATAGAAATTGATTTAATAAAAGTAGTGTATACGTCTTTAGACTATAATTAGATTTCTTCCGCATTGTGTTAAAAAGCTTAGCCCTTTGGACGATGATAATTAGTATGGGTCTTTTTTCAGGGTCAAAAAGCGAAACCTGTTGTATCCTTCATCGCTGGTTTGACGGCGCCCCCCGGCAGGCGGATGGGTCACGCTGGAGCCATCATCTCTGGAGGTAAGGGAGGCGCCATGGACAAAATAAAAGCTTTAGAGAAAGCGAACGTTATCGTCACCCGCTCCCCGGCCAAAATGGGCGTCGAATTGTTAAAAGAAATGAAACGACTAGAACTTGTTTAAGAATATCGAGAGTAGTATATTATATTGATTGATGTCATTTTACTTTGTATAGAATTTTAGTGTTTATTATACAATATTTATTTATTCCCTGTTGTTGTTTAATTTGTAATATTAAACTGTTTTCAACTTGTCATTAAATTTGAATTTTTGCACAGAATATTATAATTCCACTACTATGTGTAGCATAATAATATAAATACTCTAAATCCTATAATTATAAATCAGTGTAAGTTTTTGTCCAGTTAAAAGATTAAATATTATCTAAGCTAAGCTGCCACTTTTTGATATTGGGTTATTGTTACGCTTTCGATGTTAACTGCTAATTATATCTATTGTATGAAAAGTAATACCTCGAATGTTTAAAGTACGTGAGGAAGAAATAAAATATTCATTTGACGTTTTAGATATTTAATTTGGACTACTTTTAGTACTATTACTATCACTTAGCAAAGTTTTCATTGCAACTTGCAATACAATATGCTATTGTGTTCCATACTCTTCATAGTTGTGGTACACATACAGAGTATAGTTCTTAAATACGAGAACACATACATACATACATAAGAAATCTTACAAAAGAACTTTAGTTTAGCAATCAAAGAAATAAAATCACAGCCTGGAATAGGGTCACATTCAGCAATTTATACTAGAGAGAAAACATTATCCAAATATGTAATCTTTGTTTGATGTATACAATATGAGTATACAGTTTGAATCTTAGTTATAAATGTTAAAATAACTAAATAGTAATGGGGCAAGTAAGGACTTTAAATAACTCAAATCTATAGCAATTGCTAAGATTTATTACATTCTCTCTTAGATTGGAACCTAAACCTAAATGTTGAGATTCCAATTTTAGTATTGATTAACACTAACTCAATTAAAAACGAAATATAGGTGGGTAACTGAAGTTCTTGAGTACTTATAAAATAATGTGGAATAAACTTTTAATGGTATTTTACTTTAAAAAATACTAGTTTTGGTACTGACCAATACATTTGTACATAAAAAGGGTTTACCACCTATCCCTTCTACCTAATCTAAAACCTCCACCTCGACCACCCCTTCCTCCTCTACCACCATCTCTTTCCCTCCTAGCCTTCATAGCATCAAACCTCTCTGCCATTAAGCGTAGTTCTTCTGGGACCTCTTGATTTGCTTCTTCTAATATACTTATTAATTCCTTAGCATGAGCCCAATCACTTCTTGTCATAAATGACAAAGCAATTCCAGTTTTCCCAGCTCTACCCGTTCTTCCAATTCTATGAACATACTCCTCAATGTGCCGAGGAAAATCTAAATTTATAACATGAGTCAAGTCTTTTATGTCTATACCTCTTGAAGCTACATCAGTGGCTACCAAGATATTTACTGTCCCCTCTACCATATCCTCTAAGGCTGCCTCACGGTCACTCTGATCTCTATCACCATGCAAGGATTGACACATGATTCCCTTACAAACTAAGTCTGAAGAAATATGAGAAGCTGTCGCTTTTTTTCCACAGAAAATTATTACTTTATCGTTAGGATCCATACTTTCAATAAATTCTAAGAGATATTCCACTTTGTCATCTTCCTCAAGAAACATAATTTTCTGTGTAACAGTGTGTACCGCAGCCAAATCAAGAGATCCAACATTTACCTGGATAGGATCTTTCATGTATGTTTCAGCCAAGCGACGTACACCTGCAGGCCAAGTTGCAGAAGTCATAACACATTGGCGATCAGGTCTGACATCAAACAATGACTTCCTTATTTGTGGTTCAAAACCCATGTCAAGCATTCTGTCTGCCTCATCAAGCACTATGTATGAAAAGTTAATTGCATTTAAATGTCTAGCCATTACTAGATCATTTAATCTGCCAGGGGTAGCAATGACTATATCAACACCTTTAGTCACAACATTAATTTGCTCTCTACGATCCCCACCTCCATAAATGCAGACAGATTTAATGCCTCTGTACTGGTATTTAGATACCTCTTTATCAATTTGTAATGCAAGTTCTCTTGTTGGTGCAAGAATAAGTACGGTGGGTCCTTCCCTTTCTTCTCTTGGTGTTGGTTGGCCATCTATGTGAATCAAAGCAGGAAGTAAAAATGCAAGAGTTTTTCCTGTTCCAGTTTGTGCGATTCCTATCATATCTTCACCTCTTAACAAAATTGGCCATGCTTGACTTTGAATTGGTGACGGATGAGTAAAATTCTGCTTATATATTTCATCAAGTATTTCAGGATAGTGTTTAAAAGCTTGTTCAAATGTAAGCACTGGATTAGGTATATCTTTAAGATCAGCTTTATTGTCAAATGTTCTTCGTACCTGGATATCATTATTAGCAAGTCTCCAACGTTTTACTTCCTCTGGAGGCATGGCTGCTACTTCTGGGTCTTCTTTATAAAAATCTTTCACAATAGGTGGCAACTTGGCCCACCTGTCTTGTTGTTGTTGATCATGATATGCATTTAATTTAGCCCAATCAAGTACCTCTACGCCGTCACTATTTACTGTTAAGAATTCATTTGTAGAGCTGTTAGCTCCATTGTAGCTGTTATTTTTTGGAGGCCTGCATTCACGATCTATAGTTAGATCATTAATCATTTTTTCAACCTTCGATATGGCTGCGTCTGTTCCAAAGAGTGTTATATCAGTATCGTTACCACTAGAATCCCCAATTTTTATTTTGGCTTCACACTCGTATTCCAAATCGCGTATTTTCGATCCTCCTTTGCCGATCACTCGTCCAACTTTGCTAGACGGTATGTGAATTTTTTTGTTGTTATCCTGTCGATTATTTTGCCGGTAACCTCTACTGTCGTCACCACGCGCCCGCCAGTCTGTATTACTGCTAGAGTGCTGGCCTCTTGAACCCCGTCCCCTGTTAGAAGATCGTCCGTCCCGATTCTGGTAGTAAGTCTGAGTTCTGTACGTTGGAGGAGCTACAACAACCGGCGCACTTTCATCCCATTCCTCCTCCCAGTCACCCATTTTACTTTCAATTTGAACGTAGACGTTGACTTGAATCTTCTGGTTTTAAATAAAGGCGGTACTTTTCTTTTTCACTGATAAGTATTACGTTCAGCACTTATTTTTTAGTCTGCACTATATCTCCTTTAAAAAATACAATACAGCAATACGAGATATTAAACTGTCAAGTGTCAGGTGTCTCCTCGGAAATGTTTAATTTAAAGATAATTCGTAGAAGCCAGTGTTGTTAGTAATACATTCCTACCCACGTGTAATATACAGTACCAAACATATTTGTGTATACATAATTGTTTTGAAATTTAATTTATTAATAAGAATTATTATTTTAAGCAAATTAAAACTTTGCTATACACAACTAACCAAGTGTGTTGTTATCTGTAAATGACAATTGCAGAAATTTTGATTAATGCTGTGGAAATTGTAAGCTGTGATCTGTGAAGTTGTGAACAGTGAACACTATATTGACAGCGAAACGCGATCGAACTCGATTGAACGAAGACGTCTTTATCAAGCCGTTCCTCTATTTTTTATAAAATCGAATAAAATAATAGTGTGAAAATGTGCTAGCAATTAAATCAACATAATTTACTATCTTACTCAACGCTGCAATAGCGTTCGATCTCTCAAATGTTGGTGTTTGCCTGATTCTTTATTAAGTTGACTGGGATTGCAGTGTTATAAAAATGAGTAATTGGGCACGACGGATGCACCGGCGAGCCGCTACCCTCAGTAATGTGGTAACGTCTTGTGGTCATCCTAATTCCCTACCTTATCCAAGAAGATTAGAGAAAGTAAAGTTTGGTGTTCCACTTCACGAAGTATGCAAGGAGGACATTCCTGGACCTTTGCTTGTAAGTTTCTTATATTTAATTTTGTGCTCTGCCTATAATCAATAATAAATCTAATATTGGAATATAGATACGAGGAACTATTTATAAGATTTTTTATTACTTTCTTGTGCTAATTAACAAAACTCAATATATTTATTGTTTATTTTTGATGTGTTTTTTTATTGATGTTTACAATTGTTACATGATACAAGGTTCTTGTTATTTAGGTTTTAATATTGAAGTTGAACAAGGAAGCACCACTACGACGCGATGTATTCCGTGCACCTGGTCACCAAGGGGCCATGAAGAAACTCATTCACTTCCTTCAGACTGGCAGATTAGTCAATGTGGATAACTATTCTGTTTATACTATTGCTAGTGTCCTGAAGAAGTTTCTCAGGTGAATAGTTTTGCTTATAAAACCAACTTATATTATTACACTCAACCTTGCAGAAGTGTGGTCAAACAGTGTTAAATGCCCAAAAATGAAACTTAACTAACAACATTTTAAATGGTTTGTGTCTGGAGGTAATCTATAGTTATGCGTTATGATATTAAGAATTAAATGCTTAACAGGAAAATCCCTGGTGGTGTATTTGGGCGTGATGGTGAGATGCAATTGTTTGCTGCAGTTGAGCTGCCACCAGAACAACAAGTGGATGCTATAAGAAGGTATTTTTATTCAAGAAATATTTCTTTATTACTTCTATTTTTAGTAGTATGTATTAATAAAAATCTATAAGATCTCAACACACCACACCTTATAAAGCAATTTTTAATGTTTGAGTAAAATCCTATATTCAGGATATTTATATTAGAATACCAAAGTTTCATTGCAGAAGTATAAACTACTACCAACAGACATATAATACCATCCAAAAGATAGATATTTCAACTTACATTTTTGATTCATTATTGAATCTGTTGAAAATAAAAATAATTTTAACTCAACATGTTTCCACTAAGTATAGTAATTATAAGCAGTAACCCATTATGTCCTTAGCGCAAAGGGTGTGATTAAAGAACAGATAATAATAAAACAATAAGATTTTGCAAAGAAACTCAAAGTTTGGATAACCCAATGAGAGGACATTGGGTTATAGGCAAAGGGGGAATATGTAAATAGGCGAGATGGTTAGCGTATCATGTAGACTTCTATTGGTGTTTCCAATAAAAAAAGTATCATTTCAATAAAAATGGTTTTTCCTTGTATCGTCTACGGCTGAACATTTTAAAACAAAAAAATATATTCTTAGCAATAATTTAATACTTATCCATATACTCGTTCGCCTTATTAAGAAAAAAGAAGGTACCGCCGACGATTTTTAGGCGTTACTGCGTTACTTCAATGTATCCCTCTAAGGAAGCAACGATATTTTTCGCTTGGTTAGTCAATAGTTTCATTGTTACCCGCAATGGGAGACGCTCGGACGTCACTTCCACGTCGTACACATGCGAACAATACTTGTTGATCATTTCATGTTGTTGCCATGTACATATAGGGTTGGGTTACTGAAACGAACACTTTGAATGGTGTTAAACGCAAAATGTATACTATACAATTCTAGTGGTACTTGTAGTGGTCCTGGCTCCAAAGGTAAAAGCTCATAATGGTTACAAACAGACAAGAGCAAGAAATTGCCTTAACTATAATTCAAATAACACAGAAGTTGTAATAATAGAAAAATATATTTTGTGTGATAAACCAAAAAGACTTAGGGTTCTGAACCCAAAGAGTTGCGATGTTTTGCTGTCTATCTTTTACCTGGGTGTATCTCAAGAATAGTATATAGACCATTAATTTTTTTCCAAGCTACGCATGTCTGTGGCCACTATAAATAAAACAAAATAAATTTAAGGGGCCCTCCATACAGATAACCTATCATTTTGGTTGATATTAATTTAGGTACATGTTGGTGATAAGGCTCTTAGTTCATAAAGGTTACACAATAAATTTGGAAACTTCTTCAACGACACGGAACCCTGCGTGTAGGAGTCTCGTTCGAACCTGGCCGATCCTGTTTTCAAATACTTAGCATATCTTACTCATTTATTGTGCAAGCCCTGATTATGTTATGTAGTCAAGATATCAATGCGATAGGATCGCCCATTGTCTTGTACATTTTAAATACTTATTATAAGTGGTTATTCTTTTGTTTTTTGTTACATATTCTTTCTGTTACAGATTCTTACTATGACTAATGTTTTTGACCGATCGATTAAATACTTTCTGTAGTTTACGCGAGTAGTATACATTCAAACAAAACAATTGAACGGTTTAAAACGCGTAATATATTAGTTTAATTTATTTTAACTACGTCCCGAAGTTTCGGATGCATTGCAGTAGCCATGATCACGTTAGTGTTGTATTTAAAGTGATCTATTAATAAAAATAAATTATGTAGCAGGCCTTTACGTCAGAGTCCCTCATTCGTAACTTTCTTCAAATTTGAAAACTATTATTTTGGTCTGAGATGTCTCTGCTTCTTTTTACACGTAAAATGACATGCAATCAGCTAAGCAGCAGGAAAGAACTCAATGTATGGCTAATAATTTAATTAAGGGGCTGTAGATTCAATTACCGCTAGGTCCAACGTGTTTCAAATCGATTTATAATTTTTCTATATCATATTGGACCTCTGCTGGAAATGGAAAATCAAAAATTCCGCCTGGATCCGTACCACCGTCCACAGATGAAAACGTCGTGAAGATTAATAACTACTTGTCGACGACACACAAAGTTTACACGTAACGTTACAGACGCGAGCGTTATTATTTAATCGCCAACCTATTTATCGTGATTTACGTGAATACACCGTAACAATAGAGGTCATCGACCTCGCTAGATGTACATTTTCCTCTACAATTGGGTCATTAAGACTAGCACTCAGGGAAATAGTGTGACCTGTGTATGTAAGTAGCTTGTGTTAGCATGCAATTAATTTGAATGCAAATAACCAAATATTCTCGTGGTGACAGTTGTGCATCGGAATTAACATCGATAAGTGTCTGAAGACGAAGCTTCTTGCAATAACCCAAATTCCCTTTTCGGTAACTTCTTACACCTTGCATACATTTTTATTTCCAAAGTAATCCAATCTATACTAACATTATAAAGCTGAAGAGTTTGGTTGATCGACTAACTTACGAACGAACTACTATGTAGTTCGAATTAAAAAAATATATTTATTTTAGATAGAATATTTTTAGAGCAAAGCTCCAACAAATAGGAGAGTAGACATATCGTGTAATACATATCCCTATTTTTTTTTCTATCTGTCACTCTTTCTATACAAGTTTTTTAATTGCATTTATGTAGATGTATCTCGCAACCAAAAGCTAGTGAATATTTTGTTTAATATGTACAGAAGCCCAGACAGCTAAAATACTTCGGAGCTTTCACTCAGGAGAAAGGGCATAAAATGTTGTACAACTTGTTAGACTTTTAAAAGGTTATGCATCATTAAACTTCGTTGATACAAAAAACGAAAAGTGCTATACACCTTTCAATGAATCACTTTTAACGGTTTAAAACTCAAAATATACTATTTAACTACGGAGCCGCGTTCCCCTCCCTCGTGATAGAATACTTCAAAGCATCCGAAACGAGTTAACTAATAAAATATTTCGCGTTTTAAACCGTTAATGTTTTTCATGTATTTCATGTTGTATGTTTGTTGACAGATTACTCCTGTCTCTGCCGGTTTGCACGCAACGGTTGCTGGTGCTACTCTTCGGCACATTTCGCGTGATGGCTTCAAATGCGGATAAAGCAGGTATAGTTTTCTTATTTGTAATGCGTACTCTAATTTGGTTTTGATTATTGTAATGCCTGCCTGGTTTTATATTTTTAACTTTGATTCAACTTCTTATATTGTGGCAGTTTTATACACGATATAAGATAATTTTGACAAAACATATTACTATCTTAAACTCAATACATAATATTATTACAAACATAATTTAATTGCGTTGGATAGAAGGGCAGATATATTTTTGTGTCTCTAAAATTACTGATCGTTTTTTTATTTATGCACAGGCATCGTAAATAAAGACGCACGAGATACCAAAAAATTATGATTATTTCTAAACTTTTGTTTTGAAATAATTCTGAAACAAAAACAAATTAAAGCATATTGTTTTCTAGATTATTGTGAGAAGGTTATAAAGTGTAATGTTGAAATTGCGAGTGTCGCGCTCAAAAGAGGCGATCGTTAACTTCAATCCTCGCGGGGTGACGTTTCTCGGAGGAAAAATTGGAACAATGAAACCGAAAATTAGTGTTAATTTCGCCAATTACGAACGCTGCGTGGGCGTCGCAATGCTGCAACTGATGAGCGAGCGATTATTACATCTCCGTAATCCGTATCTGGGTTGATAACTTAACGGAACGTGAATCATAGTCTGTGGTGTAATAATCTATTATTTTTAACCGGATGCGTGTTCAATCTGAATCATAATCTGTGGCTTATCATAATCAATTTGACGAGACTATTTCCTATTTTTTTTTTTTAACAGATAACTAATTAGTTTTATAGAGCTTTGCTTAAGGCCACTCTGCTGCAGTATTTGCACTACACCTACCATTGTGTATATGTAAAATAATATTTAATTTAGCAATCGTTATCAAGAAAGAAGTTTTCTAATTATAAAGGGGGACAAACAAGCATCTTCTTTACTAGGTGAAATAACCTGGCTGGGTTATATAGCCCTGGCATAACATCTAAACAAGATGCGTCATCGATCTATTTTGGCTTTCAGTATTCTGAAATCCACAGACTGAAACCGTAACGCGATTTAACTTGAAACCCGACGGAATTTCGATATTCCTACCACCCATTTATTATACAGATTTTCAGACGGGGATCGAACCCGTTGATCCATACATTGTTACCATTACACCAACGAGTCCATTTTATGAAGACCATTTTTAGTGTAACTCTTATATGATAGTGTTTAATTACAGTTACTTTAATTATAGATTGGGTCAAGCGACGATCTACGGGTCCCAAATAAGATATTTTTAACAGCTTTTATCACTAAGCAGCTCTTTGAGAATGTCTCTTACGATTACATTTAATTTCTTGTAATATATATTTTTTATTCGTTTTTGATTTATTTATTTTAGATTGTTGAAAGTATATATTACTTTTTTTGAGTTCTGAGTTTCTTCTTATTTTTGATATCGAAATAAAACTTATAAACCATGAATTTTATTTACTTACGTGTTTCTATATAATGTTTACGTACAAGTATTAAGAAATACTTGTTTTGTATCAAGTCTAATATGTATTCCGTAAATTCTTACCTTATTTGGAAACTTTTTTTTCACATAGCACTATATAAATTAAAGATCGAAAATAAATTTTAAAAATTTACGACTCGGGCAGAACTTGAACCGGCATCCTCAGCGTTCCGTTGATGCCTTACTTTGATGCTTGACCTGGTAGCTCAATTGGTTAGAGCAACAGCACAAAGTTCGAGTCCAGCCCGAGTGGACATTTTATCAATTAATTTTGGATCTTTAATAATAATTGTTAACTTATTTTAATTATTAGAAAATTACATGTCAAGCAAAGGACCTATGTAACTTGTGTATTGTTGGAATTTCTTTTCGAGTTAATAATGTAAATGTCTTTGTACAACAGCATCGCCTCGAACATGCATCGATAAGTAAGACCAGCTCACGATGTTCCGTATTATAATATATTACCGTTTTTATCTATGCGTGTTTAATTGAGTGTAAATTGTTACTTACGGCGGTTCCCGTTGATGTGGGTACTTCCGTTTATTTTGTGTACGAACGTTTGTGAATGGTTCGACAAAATCATAGACTGTGACATGATTTTGTAATTTACTACTATTTCTACACTTAATTTATAGTAGGACATATATTTAAATAAAAATAGTTATGTATTATTGCCTTGTGTTGAATTATTAACAGATAACATTTTTAATAAGTATACCTTACAACCATTCTACAAAAAAAGTTGTGCTAATTGCTCAGTTACATAGTGTCTTTACTATATTCAAGACGTCCCATAATCCCATAGTTATATTTTATGGGCTTTTAGGGATGTACCCAACGCTTTTTTTAAGTTCGCTGAAGTTAGACTTCGACGTTGTATTGTAACAGTTTCTCGGATCAGACGACAATAGTAATAAATAAAAACTTTATTAGCATTTAAAAAACTACTGTGTCTCAAAAAATCGATGAAACGATCGGGACATGAACCGCTATTCACAGCGAACCGAACCAATGCAACTATCGTACCCTAATATATTAAATGCCTTGTGCAATAATATCTAATAAAGTTTTGTTTTAATGTAAATCTACAGTTTCATATTGATTACGATGTTGATTTTCAGGTACAGGAATGACTTCCGAGGCCCTCGGAGTGTCGGTGGCTCCATCTTTCTTCCACTCTTGCGTGTCAGACGGCAAGACAGCCACGATGGAGGATGTGCAGCGGTTCAAGGTCTGCTATCATGCTATTTTCCAATTGATCACGCCGTGTTTGTCACGCGAACCTCTGTTACGCGGGGTTACTGAATCAATCTTAATTATATGAATGTCAAAATGTATATATTTATAGATTCATCAACAGATGAAACTGATACTTACATAGAGCACTTACCTAATACAACACCATTTCGTGTATTTACAACGCACGGCCCATTTAGGACACAAACAGATAGATACATGCTTGAAAATACCGCTACTGTCATCGATAAATGTTAAACAATTTTTATATATTTCAACAAAAAAAAACTATTTTGTCTTGCTAGGGATACAAATAAAGAGAATATAACTGTACTCTAAGCAAATTAAGTAACACAACGAAGGTTAATTTTCGTACAAAAAAGTTATAACAAGCTAATCAATATTATAACAATGTAGAGCATTACTTACAAACAATTTCACCGGCTGTGTAGCTAAATGGTTAAACGTTGTCTAGCATTGCGTTAAGCGCTAAAAGTATAGAGTTCGAATCCGGGGAAACAATATATTGTTTTCTGATACGGCATAGAATGCTTTTTTATTATTTTTTACAAGTTATTGATGAAGGGACACATATTTAAGAAGGCACTAAATTGAAAAAAGTTTCGACTCGGGCAGGACTTGAAACGGCATCGTCAGCATTACGTACCACTTTCCTTTATCAGTAAAACGGACACAGAAATTTGTTAGCCCCATGTCCCACGGGGAAACCGGATAGCTTAACAATACAATTTTCATGACCCTAGTTAGGTATGAAGTAAAGATATCCTTCTGTCAATATACGAGACTGTAACTATATTCTTATATAGGTACAATACAACTAGCAATTTATCTAATAGAGAGTGTTATCAGTAACCAGTGGTTACCGTTCTGTTTACGAGTTGCATTGTTACCCGATAAGGCACAGAGATCTTTGATAACGCGGCCACTAATGCATCGCTGGTGTAAGCACGAGTTTCGTAATTTCCTTATACTCTTGGGATATAAAGGTTTCATTCACGGTAGGGAATTTCGCATAAAAAAAAAATTCAGTAAGTATCTAATACTTCCGAACGCCGCGTAATTATTTCAATTACTAATTAACACACAGCACAGCATAAAACTCTTACTATTTATTGCACTGTACTATACTTCACTTTGTTACAAACTCTAAAACACTATTTTTTTTTATTTAACGTACAAAGACGTCAACACCTAATATACAAAAGAATACTTTAGCATTGTCTGTAGTTTACGCGAGTGGTACACATTAAAAAAAACATTTCTAACGGTTTAAAACGCGAAATATATTTGATAACAATTGTTTACAATTTATACGAACTGCCCGTCGTTTTAGACACTGTGCTTAAAACTAGATCTCAAAAATGGCATGCCAAAAACCTTGAGGACACCGTGACTAAGGGCTATAAGCACCCAGTAAGTTTCTCCTAATACCAATTACGGCGAAACAGATGGCGCTAGCGTGCCAGAATTGACTTTGACGTTAGGAACACCCTCAAACTTCAGTCCCCCCGTGGCCACGGCTGCTGCGAAGCATTCGGAACATCGTGTCGTATTCCGAATAATTTGTAAATAAGTTAATTAAATCGCGTATTAAACCCTTACATGTTTTTAATATTATAGTATCGTTATACGTTCTTATAAATTGTATTTATACCGTTTGTCTATAATTAATACGATAAGTGCTTCGTGTAAATAGCTTTAACAACACTCAATTGTTTAAAACATGCAACCAAAGGCTGAAGTGTGTGTAAGTACTTTTAATTACCATTTTACAAGTTTATTATCGACTTTTCCTACTTTTTATTTCCGCTCTTCCCCGAAGGTTTTCACTATGTTGCTAAATGTAAACTATTTGAGATGAACCATATGTATATAGACTTTTTGTTTATTTAACCTTAGTTTATACTAATACTAGCTGTGCCCGCGACTTCGTCTGCTTGGAATAGTGAATTGGGGTAGAACTTTTAATTATTTAGGCTGTTTATTAATCTCACCTCACATCACTCCCACTCTCACTCCTATTCCCAAATCAAAAAAAGTTTCATTGTTCTAGCTTTAAAAACCACGAATTCAACCCTTCAACCGTTTCTCAGACTCAACAAACAAATAGTTTATATAAGTTACTAAACAAGTAGTAACTATAGACAGTATTTGATGTAACGTTTTTACCCAGCAATCCTTTAGCTTTGCAACTGATTACAAAACATGCAATTGCTACAGGCCTGGTTTAAATCTATTTGTCTTATTGTTTTGAAAGCGTTTCTTCGCTTACAACATTTACCACGGGGGGTTATCAAACGATTGTAGGACGATAACGAAAGGAAACCCGACGAAGTCCCAAAAGAACGCGCCCACTAATCTATACTAATATAATAAATCTAAAGAGTTCGTTTGTTTCGCTTTGCAATGTTACAAAGGGGTACATTATTAAAAACTCCTTAGTTACATCCTGCTTTCGCCTGACTCACCTGATGCCAAAAGCAATTGGCGCAACTGTTCTTTTGCTGCTCTAGATTTTTCTATTGTTAACTATCTTACCGTAAAGTTTTCTCTCATAGTATGGTTTTTTTATTTGCTTGTCTGTAGATAGCAAAGTTGGCTATTGGAATTCGTAAATATATAAGTATTATTAATTGTAATATTAATAATCTAATAATAGTAATGTAAATAATTATTTTATAGAATTAAATTACTAGTAATTCCTACCTTACTGTTCCTGACTGTTCCTTAGCCGCAAGATGGATGTTGTGTTGTAGATTTGCATTTACATACCATTTGAAATATATATTTATTAAAATAATGTATTTGCTAACCATATTCAACATATATAAAGATATATATTTATTATAAAGGAGGTCGGCAAGTATGAAGATCACTTGATGGTTAAATATTCCAGCCCTTCCCCCCATGTCAAACCCGAAAAAGAGGGGGGGGTGGCCCTTGTTCCTTTGGAAAACCCCCAACCCAAAAAAAAAAACCCCCCCCCAACCCTCGGGGTTAATTTTTTTTAATAAAAATAATAATTGATCTGGCGATAATCGAAGCCAGGAATATTAAGTTTCCCACATATTTAAGGACGTAAATTGTATTTTTTTTTAATAATAGTTTATTAAAACCAGGTGGCGACGCGTATAATGCGACAATTGATTGAGCAATTCAGCGCGGGCGATCTCTTTGGCCGGGACAACTACGAATACTATGCCCGTGTGACGGGGCGAGTATTGCGCGTTAAGGACGAGTGGATCTGCTCTTTCCGGGACCCGCCGCCACCTAGACACCATCGAGATCAAGAGGCATATGCTCGTAAGAACTATTACTCCCAACTCTTCAATCCAATAAGTCTCAATTTGATCCTATGTAGAAATTATTATATTTATTCCACTATATAAAGCTAAAGGTTTGTTTGTTTGAACGCGCTAATTCAGGAACTACAGATGATGATTGAAAAATGTATTTTGGGCTGGTTAGAACGTGCATCGAGGAAGGCTGTAAAACCTACTGAAAGCGCTGCGACTAGTAGGATCGAAGGAACAACGGGCAATGTCGATAAAAAGGGGGAAATGATTATCCGTGTGGGTTTCCTTTACGTACGCTGTCACATTGTGTGTGTGTGTGAAACGGTTTACAGCTATATTTTATACAGATTAGGCTTGCAAAAACAAATATAAATTTGCAAAAAAAATGCAAAATTAAAGGCTACGTTAACATCTAGCACTAAGCCACGGATGTCGTATGCCACTTATTCCAGTAAAAATGAATTGTGAGTTCAAACAATAGTGTATTGCGAAAATGTTCTCAGTTCTCACGGTTAAGTTGAATTTTACGCGCAAAAACATCCCGGCGGCCGCTAAAATAGTTTATTGACCTTTTAATTGTTTCTACATTTGTTCCACTTGTTAATTATGGCTCAAACAAGCCTTAAACATTACATTACTACTTCGCTGAGTTCATAATGCGTTCCTAGTTTTTAGGGTTCCGTACACAAAATGCGACTCCCCCTAGATTCGCTATAGCTAGATTAAAATTTTCGGAAATGTTTCTTTTTGCCGCTATAGCAACATATACAAAAAGAACAAGACGAAACGCTAAATACAACGTTATTTTTTCCTTGCTCAACATCAATAATTAGTAACAGATAAGCACTTGACATTCACTAAATTGCTTAACTGTTTACTTATTTTATTAATAAATTATATTAGACTTTAAATAAAACACTTACTTATAACGCGATATATTAGTTAAACTTATTGAAAATGATTTTTAACTTCGGCCCGACGTTTCGGATGCTTTGCAGCAGCCGTGGTCACGGGGAGACTAAAGATGGAGGATGTCTCAGACGTCAAAGTAAAAAACCGAAAAAGGTTGGCAAAACGGCCGAAAAACCCCCCCCCCCCCGCGGCCGGGGGCAAATTTCTTTGCCTAGACAACGGTACGGATCCAAGCGTTGGCCGCGTCCTCTAGCATTGCGCTAAAAACGAGAGGTCCTAGGTTCAAATTCGGAGAAAAATATATTGTTTTCGGTCGACCAGGCACAGAAGTCAACTGCTTGCCTCTGTATAAAATGATCAAGACATGTTGTGAAACAGAAGCGTATCGCCCCATGCAGGTAAACGTGATTTCACTTGTTAGTATTATACAACGCCAAGTATTCTTGGATGTGACTGATATATGTTCTAAAATTTGTTTTAAATTTGTCAATTTCAGGACAACTGTCACTCGAAGCAGAGAAGACCTGGCTGCAATGTGAATGCGATCGTTGGGGGAATAAATATAACTTAGAAGGTTCGTATCACTATTTCTAGTATCTACAATGAAACCAAATATTGGGGTATTTGAGATGTGTTTAGCCTTATGCTACCTAGTGACAGATAGATCTATAGTCAGGGTTGCCAGATCAGAAGTTCAATATCTAGGAAAATTTTCAAAACGTCACGATTTTAGGGTTGTTATCGCCAAAATAAAAAATATTTATTTCTTTTTTGATTTTTGTAAAGACGTACTATTACACAATATTAAATAGCGCGGCAATTTTAAATAATTTTTCTGTCGTATTTATAAAAGTGGAGATTGTAAGATTAGTATCTGGCAACCTTACCTTACCTTGGATTTTAGTTATGAATGTATAATGCTTCTACGGCCATTTGTGTTTTCGAGTTGTTTAGCTGTCGTAATTGAGAAATGACAACTCAGTGTTTTCTTACGAGAAACCCCACATGCCTCCTGATTATTGCGATACGTTAAGAAGCTATTTCTTGACCATGGCAGCCAAACGCTTGAATATCTAAGTATTAAATTTTGTAATGTTTGTTTTATTTGTTGACATTTACATAGTTGATGTATATATGTATATGCTATACCAACAAGTACTAAAAATTGATTTAATAAATATTTACTACAGCTGCGATTTAAAATTCTATTGTTTTTTTAATAGGCGTATGGACAATCCATCGAGCGTGAGTCGGGATTTTTTGTTATCCAATAACCAATATTTTTAACAGTACCTTATAACACAGTACTAAATACATATTACAAGTTAATTTCTCATTATAACCAGCTGCCCAAAACTATACTAGTCGCCTTTTAAATGACTTGAAAATTTAAACGTTGGACGTTATATGCGTATACGCATTTACAGCGATATTTTTCACAGGTCGGGATCAATGATTCATGTTAGGAATTCGCTAAATACCCTCAATATGTAAAGTTGTATATTACTAAATTATTCTGGTGAGTTTGCTCAAAGTATTTCGTATTTCGTCAATATTTGAATGGTTGAGGTTTTGGGGAACTCACTTTAATAGTCTCACCGTAATCTCATCTTCATTACTAACAACGACTAAATACAGTCAATGTGTTAGTTTTTTTTAAATGTCACTAGTTTGGAACTTATCATAACTCGATCGAAAGTATTTTAGCATTGTTTTACTATCACGCTTTATCTACCATAATATTAGTTAGTTATATCGATATTTAAATCCCACCCCTAGTGAAATAATATAAAAAAAGTTTTTATGCAACAGGACAAACCTACCGCTTTATCTAATGCAATCGTTTCTATCCTCAAAACGGTATTTTTATCATCGTCCGTTTATGGTTGAATTTTCCATACGTTAAACGAATTTCGCTTTTGAAAACCAAAGACAAGATACTGCATCTTAAATTTATACTACTAGTATGAAGTAGCCCTTATGGTGTTTTTTGCAGCACTCTCAAAATCCGAAGAATGCCAGTCAATGCCAGCGCTCCTGGGCGTTGTGGGTACCAACGGTGGCGGTACCCTTGGCCTGGGCATCATTCCCGAACACAGTCTATTGGACTCGTGCACACGTCTCTCGATATCCTTGGAGGAAAGTGTATTTAAGGTAATTAATAAAGGATTTTTTTACTAAAATAAATAAAAAGTTCTCTCGTTACAGTACACATACGAACATTAATTAAAGTACTCCTCAAAAAACAAATGCTCCAAATTTATATTTACGATCGTACGTCGCTACTATTTTTTCGCTAAGATTCACAGCACAAGAGTCTTCAACGAACTGTCACCGTTAACCGATATTTCAGTTTGTAAGTTACTTTGTATAGATTATACGGTTTAAACAATCGTGGAAGATATTCCAGTCATTTGTCAAACTCACAGCATCGAAAAATAAATACAATTCAATCCATCTGCTCTACATACCTTGAAAACATTTTTACTTAATTTGAAGGTTTAACTGGTTAGTAGGAATTGGTTTTCTGTTCTTCAGACCTCAAATAAATTGATTTAGTTAATCTTCAAGGAACAGGTTAAAATAAACATTTTAGACCTTCTATCTCTATCCCTCCTGTGAACACGACTGCTGCAAAGCATCCGAAACGACGGGTGTTAAAATTAATTGTAAATAAGTTACTAATTTTAGTACAGCCAGTACTTGTATTTTATGTGCGCTAAAACTTTTTGACATCGTTTCTTGATATTGTCTTACGTATGAATTAAAATATTTCCACTATTTTGTTTCTTTCATACCTTGCACTTGAACTTTCAGGTTTCAGTCAGCTCATCGTCTCAGTCCTCGTGCAGCAATTCCAGCCCCCACATGACCCTAGAGGAACTTCGGGCCATTAACAAATACGCCGAGAGCACTAAGAGCCTCTCGTACTTACCTCAGGTGAGAAATAAGTACATGTCTTGACTTTTATTAAACGTTATTTACTTCTGATTTAGAGATCTGTTACATATTGAAGATTTTTTTTAGTGATAGTAATAACACGTATGAGTTTGTTGTTTCTATCCTCCAAAAAAAAAAAAAATTCATGGAACGGTACAGCGACTAGAAAAAAGTTTTAAATTATTTGTAACATTTTTGTCTATTATAGATAAAAAATATAAAAAAGGTACACTGACTTAGTATTTAGAATAGGTTTAAATTTGAATTTCGAAGTATTATTTTTCTCATTGAAGTAAGGTGACGAAGATTAAGTGTTTTGTAATACTTTAGAAAAATATAAAAAAAGATCTACCCACCGTTGATTGAAGTTGTACATATTACTATATCTATGGGATGGATGTATAGAATAAATAATTTATCTATGTTCAAATTCTAGCGCACTCTGAGGGACATTTTGTTCTAATGGTGATGTTGACTGTAGACACCTGTAGATAATCACAAACAATTTTTTTCACTATGTGTTGCCCTCTATGTGAATCTTTTACAAGGCAATACTTAGTTTGTAAACGGTTTACATTGACTCTTCGCATGGCGATAACTGTCCGCATTAGGTACTCGAAACCACGTACTGCTATTGTATTTTTGTTTCTACCCGCAGTCGCTGTTGTTAATGTTCTGGAAATTTTGACATGTAGTTATTGAATTGACATGGAAAAACATTTTTATGGTATATTCGCTTCAAATGAGTTTAGCATTTCGTTGGTCCTGTTTAATTGTAGGTTGATCTGCTCAACGGTTTGTTACTAATCGTGGTTCAAGGAAGTTATTAACCGAACTAACATTCCTGTGTTATTCTAACATAATAATGGCTGTACTGTTAGTTTCTTTGCGAAGATGTAGTTCTTGTATGAAAGTTTAATGGTGGTACAAAATTCAAGATTTTGAAAGACTTGTTAATAGTTATGCAAAAGACGAATTGTATACATGTTTGATTAATTAATGTATCAGAAATATAATTTCTATGTTTCTGATATCATGTTATTTGTGTAAGTTCTGGAGTAAGTTCTAACTGTCGCACATATTTTAACGTGCAGTTCAGTTTGGATTTATTCACCTATGCCACGGAGCAGTAGGCATAAATCAGTAATTGAAGTTCAGAAAATAATAAATGTTTCGTAGTTAAATATGGTAGGTAAAAGTTAGATTAACTAGGCCAGTGATGGGCAAATAATGTGTCTTAACATGGGCAAATTTCGATGAACACATACGGGGTAACTCGATTGTCTGACATGGTATTATTACTTGTGGATTCGAGTCCCGCCTGTGCCATCGAGTCTGTAAAAAGTACATAGTTTAAGGCCCAAAAAGTAAGTAACCAATCGTTGTGCTCCCTAAGTAATGAAGTGAAAATCCTTGTAGAAAAATTTGCCTATCCCTGTGCCCGTCGGTTACTGCTCCGTAGCAGTGCAGGGCAAACGGGTGACATTATCGGCGGTGTAGGTCCACGAGCGGCAGCGGGCGCGGATGCAAACGCGCTCCGAATGGTTCCTGCAGCCCGCCGCGTCGCTGGACGCCCCCCGCTCGCGCCCCGGTACGCCCCCGCCCCCTCCGCAAGACGCTACCCAGCCCCCTTACGCTCCGAGACCGAGCTTCGAACAATCAGAGAGCACCGCACTATACGTGCTTGTCGCCTGCCTAGAGTTCTTGTTTTGACGGCCTACCGCCCCGGTACTGTGTTCATGTGTTCAGCTTCGTGGTGCGGAGGACTAACACGTCTGAAGGCATTTCTACCTTGACGCCAAAAGCTTTAAATAGTATGCATTTAGACCTTGCACGAAAGAGACAGAACATGGAATAGTCGTACCTTACCGTTACCGTATTGTGTGACAATCTGTGGTTTAAAACAAAAATAGCATAGCTCCAGGTGAAATGCCTTCTCGCTCTTACTGATACAGTTTGTACGCTAAGGGGGTAGCTTCAGCTTTACGTACTTTGAATGTTGTGCAAGTGTTTGTACCTTACGCATGTTCTGTGTTTGCTTTATATCTTAAAAATGTTTTCGAATCTCTCTTCTCCTGCGACCGTTACGCATGTGTAGAATTTTTTCTATCCGACAAAACTTTTCTACGTTCTTACGGATAGTATTTTGGATATTAGCAACGTGTGTCTCAGTATTTTTTGTCTATTAACGTGTAGCAACGGTAAGTGACGTTGTAGTTGTCGCCATTAATTTAGTGTAGGCATGGTTATTAAACTTGTTATAAAAGAACGTCTCTCTTTATGACATGTTTAATCGAACTGAGTTTTGTGCGATAAGTCAGGTGTTATTTAACAGAACTACCCACCGAAGGTTGTGACAACTGACGATCCAAAAAGCTCTAGTTCTTGTGATTTTTCGTTTATGTATAATCGTAACATTTTAGAAATATTATTTGGGAAAAAAACCCCTTTCTTACAGTTTATGTTCAATCTGTAACATGTATTATAATATCAGAGTGATACAGCACTAAGAAGTATGATATAGCATTTTACTTCATCAACAAGACATTTTTGCCCTCATTTTTTTTTTTATTCTTGTACACTTTACTTCTTACAGCACATTTGATATTTATCACCAAGTTACTCTTATCGCTGCCTCTAATTGGCAGTATGCTACCATTTTATTTTTATTACTTTTTTTGGTATCACGAGAGATGCGCATATACAGTGCCCGACAATAACATCGACTCAACAATAAAAAGAGACAGTGCTATTTTCCCTATAGTTGTCTCTGTCACATACTGTTATGAAAATGATTTTTGAAATATAGATATAGAAATGTTTAGGACATGAAATCAAAGGGAAATACTGAAATAAATGCCAATTTCAGACTACAAGTCGACAATAGTTAAGAAAATGTATTTATTGTAGTGAATTTTATTATATAGCTTGTGATGGTGCATTCTTTTTTTCTAGTCATTTTGTGGGGTGCTATATATTCATTATTCAGCTCTTTTAAGACTACGCTGTACTCGGATCATCTTATAATTTTTTGGTCGGATGCGTTCTATTTAAAAGCGAAGTCTAAAAAGAGCTCAGCTCGCACCCGCCCATATGTGTACTGATTGAACTGTTACGGCGCAGGCGGCGAGCGTCGTAGTTCGCGGCGACGTTCGCGGCGCGCTCGCGTGTGCCGCGCGCTCACGCACTCCGACACTGAAATCCCGCTCGCTCTCCAACCTCGTAAAGTGACCGCCTGACCTGACGCCTGCCCGCGGTGCCACTGCACGCGATAACCACGCCCCCACGTTTACGCACCAGGGGGCAATTCTTAAAAGAGCCATCTAACATGTCCATAAACAACCATTCATTAAAATTTGACTATTTTGAGAATTGTCCTCTTGGTATTCACAATATAACCAACACTATACTCTGTCGAATATAGGATGATACTGTCCACAATAAATTCATATTGCATTGTGTTAACACAGCAAATATTATCGTCTGTAGTTTAAGAGGTAACATTTTAACAGTTTAAAACTCGATGTATATTAGTAAAACTTGTTTGAAAATTATTTTTAACTTCGGCCCGACGTTTCGGATGCTTTGCAGCAGCCGTGGTCACCGGGAGACAGTAAACAGAGACCGACTTCGGGGCTGTAGTTAAAAATAATATTTAAATAATATATATCACGTTTTATGTTAAAGTGTTTTATTTAAATTATTATCGTGCTTTATTGATGGGTCACTTACAAAACGATCGAACATATAGATTTTGGTTGTACACAATCCGATTTTTTTTTAAATAATTGAATTAATTCACTTTGACATCTATACTGTGTGCTCTAAAATTGTCATCCTATATTAGACAAGGTATAGTGAAAGGGATTTCAATAACGAAGTTTAGATATTATAAATTATATGGTATACTAAAAACGCTCAGTAATACACTACACAGCTTAAACATACCGTTACACTAATGTACAGCCAGACCAACATTTCTGTGTTGTTTTATTCGCAGAAATTTTGGAAGGCTTCTAATAGAGGTTTTCATATCGCCGAACATCCGTTCATTCATGTATTTAGAATTTGAACTTGTAGATGTACCGTCTATTAGGAGGAACTGTTGTAAATATGAAAATATATCCAGACTATAGATAATATAGTTATTCCTTCTTTGTGTTCTGTATAAGTCAGACAGTAGGGTAAAACTTCGTTACAAAAACTCTACCTAACATGGAATTGAATTTGTTTTTCAACCCTTCATAACGTATTTTGCACAGAAGCTACCGTTATTGCATTTGATAAGCTCACCTTTGTTATGTAGCAAGTGCATGCCAATTTTTACAATGACATAATGGGCTATTTGGGTGATTTTTAAAATGTACTTTATTTTTGCAATTCTGATACATATTTGCTGAAATATATGAAATTTAGGTTTCTAACCAAACATTGAGATTGCGCGCTTATACGCAAATTTTGCGAAATAACGCTACAATACGGCTAGTGACGTCACAAGCCTATATAAGTCATTGGTGTATCGTACGATCATACAAACTACATGCAATTTGTACCAAACATTTACATTTTAACAGTGACTTTAAAGGAGGGTTTTGTATCACGTGACAAATGTTGAAAAACGTTATTTTTATTTAAAACAATTATTATTTTTTACATTTGTGACTCTTATATTTTCAAAGTTATACTTAGTACTCATAACAGTAATTGACGCTAAATTTTTCGCATTGTCAAATAGCCCATTCCATTATACTGTACTCTTAATGGTAAATATGAAAAAAAATGAAGAAGTTAACACTGTAAAATTACTATTTTATGTTACGAATGATAGACGCAACTATATATATCAATATGATTGTACATATATATTTTTGGCGTTTAAATTTGCCATTATATGTAATCTCGAAGGTTGTAATCTTGAAAAGCTGTAACTGTGTATAGACGTACTGGCCAAAAACATTGTCAAAAATCGTATATCTAGACTAAATTTTGGTGACTAGATTTAACTTGTATTGATTTGTGGAGCTTTTGGTACGTATAGGAAATTTTGTATTGTATTTTTCATGGGCATGATCGTCCAAAAGTGCATTGGTTTTTTATATTTTGTACCTTTATACCTAAATTTAAAATGTTTTAAAAATTGTCTTGTTTCACTACAAATACATTTGGCTCTGTTTAACAAAAGCTTTATACATGTGTGCCATTTTGATTGACTAAACGCACTTTTTTCTTGTATTTTAAGGAAACTTATCGAACAAGATTGGTGACGTATAATAAATTATGTAAGGCTTTCGCGGCCATCGTTCAGCATATCATTGTCTTTCGGGCCGTTCGGCCGATGTGTGGGAGAAGAGGTTCTCGACGTTTCACCCTCACGTGTGGACGGCACCATCAGGAGATGTTGACTCCTCGATTGCTCGAATAATTAATTTTTCGATTAATTTCCGAACAGCCCGAAAGACAATGATATGCTGGTGACGTATAGTTATAAAACAAAACATTCCTGTAAATATTTATGTATTGGTAGTTTTAATATCTATTCAATGTGTATGACATATATATGTTGTAGATATCACTTCCACGTTTCTGTCTACCTCTTTGTTAACGTGGCGTTGCATCACATTACTTAGGATGCATTGAAAATTTTCAGTAATACGAGCCACGTAAAGACTGATTTGTTCAAACATTGATTTAAAGCAATCTTATCTGAAAAGGTATTTGATGTCTATTAAGCAATAGTACAAACGCCATCAAACAGAATCGAATTTAAATTTCTATAGATTTAGTTGTCGGGTTCTTCTCTGACGTCATTGTATAGGTGCTAGATTATTGTGAAGTCTCTTATGAATATCTAGATCTATATAGATTTGTGAAATTGTTAGTGGTAGGTTGTAACATCACATTTATAAATTGTCTGTAGTTTATGTGAGTAGTACACGTATTTAAATAAACACTGTTAACGGTTTAAAACGCGAAATGTTTGTGTTAATTTAAATCAATGTGCTTAACTACAGCAGCCAGTCTAACCCACGTGATCTGGGCAGCGAACGTGGGGCCGTAGTTAATAAAAATAATTTACCTAATGTTCTATTAAATGTTTTGCATTTAAAACCGTTAAAATTGTTTTATCTGAAACATTCATGAATTTATTAGCTACGATCTAGTTAATGTTTGCATTGAAAATCATTTATTATAAACATTTTAAATATTGTTACTATTACAATTAACAAGAATATAGCTGTCTCGCTCGTTCTTAAACGATGTGAGCAGTAAGGCTATATTTGAGTAATGAGTGTGACAGTACAACATCGCCACAAAATGGTGTAAATGCAAAAATGCTTTCGCACATTGACATATTTAAATTTTATTGTATAACTTTAAGACTGCTATGTTATTGTTAGAAATTTGTATCGGTTGCAGCTAGCAGCGTTATTCAATTGTTTTTCATTATCTCAATTTGGTTGTTATGTGACGTGAAAAGAATTGAAGTGGTGGGTCCCCACTGAGCGAGGCGGGCGTCCCTCTCGCTCGCTAGTGACCAACCCAATTTTAAAGTTTCTATTGACAAGTTGTGAGTACATTTATTTTAGTTAGGCTAAAGGCAGCTCAAGCTTTAACGGTTGTGGCTAAGCAATCTTCACTGAGTTACTTCGGCCGGCCGTTTCTTGCATTTTCAATAGTATTTCATTATAATATAAGATATTAATGTTTATTAGAGGCTATCGCCAATTTGATGTTTACATGAACTAGGATTATAGTAAAACTATACATGATTTGGATATGACGTCCAAGTTTGTGTTCATCGGTTAGTTATAGTTTTAAATAGTTCAATTAAATTTTATGGTACATTTAGCTCTGGAACAAACGAACACAGAGCGATGCCCACAAATAAACTGTTTATTTTTGAAAGGTAAATTTTAATAATTTACATCTATTTTCAAAGGTTTTTAGATGAAATTTAATAAATTAGTTAAGTGCTATTGTTTATAGGGATGCTATGGTTATTGGCAAATATATCTTGACAGAGGCTATGAGTTCGATTTTGTGGAGTCTAACATGTTTCTAAAAAGCATTTTTAATATTCAAATGTGGTTGACTCAGGGTGTGGGTCTACACCGTCTAAGCTGGAATGTTCAAAGCCAAAAGAGGCCGGCAGCGCATTATTAGATGTTGTATGGCTGTGGCACCTTCCATCGTGTGAATCCTATTCCCGCTTATCATTAAAATATATCTAAAGTTTTGTTTCGGTGTAAATCATAGCATCCCAACGAGATTTGTTCATTGGTAGATAAGATGAACTTGATTTTAATAAGACTGTTTAGTATTTTGTATTATCTTGACACTCGGATGTGGTGTCGCGTTATCATTCCACCGCCTTGAATTGTACCCGTTCGTTTGAGTATTTCGTTCAGTTATTATAGATTTAAGATCTCATATTTTCTTGTTTTTCCAGTTAACTTTATATCGCCTGTGTAAGTGTAAATTGTTTTAAATTTTGCACTTGTACTAAAACTATATTTCAGTTGTGTATCTAGTGTTAAGTGCTGTCTTTGCTTTGTAAATTCAGTTCGTCAATTTGTATCTGCACATCCTTATATAAAGAAGTTTTAAGAATTACACAAAATAAAAAATATAATACTATTCATTGGTTTCTCTTCAATCAAATAATAAAGAAAAAAACATTATTCCGTATATATAATACGGACACAATTCCCTTTAATCACATTCTATAAAACATATCACAGATTATTTTTAACAATTTGACCCTTTACATAAACTTGTACGATGTTTCTATCGTCTCCTACATATAGAAATCTTTGTAACAAATTCATTATGTGTTCCTCGTTGGATGGTGGGTAGTCGTAATCGTCAGTTGGTCCATCCTCTCTATACACGTCTATTAATAAGGCATCGAAGTCTTTGCCGATAGCGAAATTGCCGATTTTACGATCCAGATTCAACGCTGTAATTGAGGGACTACGGTCACAATTTTATCTATAGGATTTTGTTACAGATAAAAAATCCTAGATTCTACGAATCCCAAAGAGTTATCAAAATTCGAAACTTAAAACACAAGAAGAATTGCGTACGTACAGTGTGTACTACACAATAAGTCTTTCAATTAAATTTTCAAACTAAAAGTACCTGTGGCTCCCCCCTAGGGTAGCTAAATAAAAGGCCTCTCTCCAGTTAATCGCGTGTTCTGGATTCCCCTGAAATTCGAGATGTGTTGAAACATCCATAGTACGTCTCACCGCGTCTAAAATGGATGCGCTATCGCCCCCTGATACATCTGCAACAGGATTACATAGCTAAAAATACATTTGATGACAATTTGCTGAATATAAAAAACATATCATATTGGTCCGGTCCTCTAGTTTTGCTAATTCAGGGGGAATGAACAAAACGGTATTTTGCTTAAGAATTGTTATGTGAAATTGAGTGATGCAACAATTATTATGGCTAAGCATAATGGAAAATGGCCACCCAATGAAGAATCCAATACACATGGACTTAGTAGCTACACACACTAACAGCTATTTACAATATCATGTAGAGAGGGCAGTCAATTACAAAAATTTTTAAATTTATAGTAGTAGCGTTTGTGTTGTTTTACATATACATACACACCTGTTCCTAGGCCGACGACAACATTGTTGTTCAACAGTTTCCTCACTGGACATAAACCAGATCTCAATCTTGTGTTAGAAGCAGGACAGTGTGCGACAGAGACGCCCTTCCTCGCGAATACCTCCATCTCCTTTTCACTTAAATATACTGCATGCGCCATAATACACTAAAACAATTTCCTTACTTCAAAGTAACTTAGTTAATCCAAATGTTCAATTACAGTAGATATTTTACCTTCTTTGTGAGAATACCACTTCTATCATAAACTTCAGAGTAAGTTTGATAACCTGAAAAATATTTCAACACATGTTCTATTTCTTTTCTGTTTTCTGAAATATGGCTCTGAAATAAGTATAATACAATTATTATTATATTTGTTATTTGAAAAGTAAGACAAAGGCGAATATAAAGAGAAATATGTTCCCTTTCTTGAAATTATTCTTCAAATATTTCTTATTTAATTTCTTTAGAGTTGTAAACTTCTACCTGTATATGACAGTCATATTTACGCGCTATCTGGGATAATCCACTCATGAGTTCAGTATCACAACTAACAGCAAATCTGGGTGTTACCACTGGTTGCACTAATTCATTCTAAAATCATTAGCAAAATAAGTTTACTGTAAAACTGAAATTACCCATTAAACCAATTTATACCTTATAATGTAAAATACACTGAACAAACTCTTCAGTCTCATTTAATTCCTTTCGAGTGGCATTATAATATCCAGCATCGTTTTTTATATTCATGCTAACTTTTCCAACAAGAGCTCTCTGTTTATGTTTTATGGCACTCTTTGCTAATTCCAAACTACCTTCCTTATGGAGAGTCCCAAAATAGCAAGCTGTTGTTGTACCATTTTGAAGTAATCTTTGCTAAAGAGAAAATTTAATTTAGTTTAAAGAAAATTTAAAGTTTCTTAAATTCATAGCAATTTTGTACTTACTACAACTCTATCATATACTTTAGCTGCAAACTCTACATCTTTGTACCGAGACTCTAAGGGAAATGTGTACTTGTCTAACCATTCCAATAGGGGCCTATCTAGTCCGAGACCAATGTTGGGGAATTGAGGTGCATGAGTGTGGCAGTCAACAAAGCCGGGCATAAGAAACTGATTCGGCTCCAAATATTGAATTTGGAAATCGTCAAATTTTCCTTTTCCTTTTAGATCTTCAAATGTTTCATTAGCACCTACTCCTGTTATCTGAAAGTTTGAGAGTGAGGAGCTAATAAATATTATGAAATTCAATAAAAATAGAACAGCCTATTTGTTATATTAACACCTAAACGGCTTCACCCATTTTAGTATCAAGCAATGTGGCCAATACTGAAGTGATAAAGGATGAATTCAAATGTTCTTGCTAGCCAGATAAATATCTATACTTCATGTGTACTACGAAATATTGTTTTGAACTTACCACACCATTTTCAATACACAAATATCCACGGAAGGCTTTCAAATCCTGAATAGAGTTTGACGATGCTAATACTCCAATAAATACAATTTTGTCTGACATGTTCAGGTCTTAATCATAAACTTGTTACTAAGAGCACCCTTTTCATAAGAAGTCAAAGTGTTGAATGTGTTTATAGTTTGTAGATTAACTTCACTCGTCCTCAGTAGGCATTTACGATAACTTATCAACACCAATATAGATGTAAGTTCATCGTATTATTGGAATAAATTATGTTATAAGAAATATCAAGGCGAAAGCTTTTTTATTCACATTCGAGTAATCCAACGACAGAAGCGAAGAAAATAACGTACTTAATATTCATAAAAGTAATGTAATGGATCTCATGTTTATATTATTATTTTACTCTGATAAGACTACTGATAAACTGTGTGCTGTTGACAGGAAAATAACAAAATGTTAATTTAGTTGCCATACTCACAATTAATTATTACTATACAAGGTAAATTACTGGAAGAGAATGTTTAGTAGCGACAAGGCCGCCCAGTACTTCAGTTTTTCGTTTCCCTTTATTTATAATTTCTTTGTAATCAATGTAATAAATAATATAAAAGGTAAAGGCGTCTCTTTCCGCTACTTAATCAATGAAAATGATAATAATGCTTTTACTACTGATAATTTTACTACTTTTATAAATATTTACTTTAATTCGTGATGTCTATATATTCCCCTGATTTTGGCAAAGAATCTGTAACTGCAATCACAGACATAAATTGTCAGTTTCCGGCTGTCATGTCATAACTTATGCATCTTATTGACAGTATAAAAAACGAATCAAAATTCAAGCTTTCTCATCTTTAATCACAGAGAAGCTCTTGCCTTCTGTTTTACTCGCGCAAAGTTTTATTGGCGCGTAAGTTATTATAGGATAAAGATACCTTAAACAATTATGTTATTAAATAACATTATTTTGATTAACTAGCTCTGAGAAAAGTTCGTTTGCCATTTTATGAAGTTTGATTTTTTTTGTATATGAATTTTGACGAACGACGAATTTGATTACCAGAAAAAACTGTTCTTGTGAGTTAATTCTAAAAGGTAGACCTATAGTGTCACCGATATTTTTTTAGATTTTCATTTAGAGAGAAATCATTCATCATATTTATTGGGTATTCGTATTTTTTTCCTTTTCTTTCACATTTCTCTTTGTTTCTTTGTTGCTATTAGTCGCAGCCTGATGTTTAATAGTAAAACGATAAATTCCACGATAAATGGCCCAACGAACACAAAATAAAATTTGAACCAGTGGTTTCTCTTCAATTTTATATTATTGGTAAAGGTAGTTGAGTAGTTGAGTAGATTATAATTAAGGGGATGTATGAAAACGTAAAGAATACAAGAAGAATTATTTAATCACATTTTATGATTTTACTGATGAGTCGTATTAATCTTATACATAAGCTGATGCCAAAAAGATTGTACAGATTCTCCTGCTGTCATCCATTCCATAAAAGTCCCTGCTTTTGCGCTTTGTATCCAAAATTTGGAGTTGCTTAAGGCAGCCTGAGCTAAGGATTCTTCTAGGCGATTATTAATTTTACGAGCCTCTTCTAAACACTGAAATTAAGCAGATTTTTTTAACTGAACCAAGAATGTTACCTCGTAAACCTAACTACAAAAAATGATCTACCTGAGTAAACGTTGACGCGGCGACATTGTGACGTCCCGATAAATTTAAGGAGTTAGCCTTCAGAAGCAACCACCTGGGTTCTATTACTTTGACGACTTTTGTGTCGCCTTCCAGCCGCATCAATTCCTTATCAGCTAAAGACCTAAGTTCCATCAAATCGACGACCTAAACGTTAAGTAACATTAGTTTGTTATTCAGTTTTAAAATAACTTGTAACTCACATGCTACCTTTTTCAGGTCGTCTACTTTTCTGGCCAGGCTTTCTAACATCCCCTCAGCTAAGCGTAGAGAACTGATTAAAGTTGTGAGTGAGCCATCATCTTTTTCATTTCCGCACCAATTCAAAGCTTCGTTTTCAAAGCGTTTCGCTTTGCGCTCAAGATCTAGTCGTAGCCAAAACGTCCAGATACCAACAACTAGACGCCTTCGACTCTCCCCTGCTGATTTGCCCATATTCAAAGCATATTCCGCGAAACGGTTGATTTCCTGCGGCGATTCTATTTGAAAACCACAGTCCAAAATCATGTCAATTGCTAGAGCGTAATACCAAGTTTCGCAGTCCAATGAGTTATGAGTCTGACTTAAGTCCAACAAGAGTTTCAAAACATCAATTGCCTCATTTACGCGTTTGCGGCACAATAAAATGTAAAATAAATCGGGTATAATATCTAACGAAATTTTATCAGCGTGTACAAATCTACTGACTGTTAACGCTCGAAAACCCGAACGAACGGCGGCTGCTAGTTTGGCCCTCGCTGTTCTTGCCCGAAAAGAAGCCAAAAACATTTTTCCAATAGCAAATAATTCATGGGATTGTATAGGTTTGGATATATTTCTCAGAGTCGTTATGGCTATACGTTCTGTGTTCTCTGTCAGCTCCGGTTTGCCTAGATCCAGTTCAATTTGAATAGCATTAGTGAAGGCATCGCACAGGTCTATCGTGCTACAGTGAAATCGCTGTACAAGAAACAAGGCACGCATGGCTGTGACTCTAGCTGTCTTCAAATCTTCTAGTGTAGAAAAAAGTATGGTAGCAATGTTTAGACAAAATATAGAATCTGACTTCAAAGACGCATCATGTGAACGATGTTTTGGATGCTTGGATTTAATATAATTATAAACGTGGCGGAAATCTGTTATATCAGATAATTTTGTCAAGTTTATATTGTATATCTTAGCGGCTTTTTCAATATAAACTTTTGATGCCATTAATTTATTACTCATAAGGTAAGCTGCGGCTTGTAGAGAGTATATTTTTCCGAAAAATAATTTTCTCCCAAACTCACTGACATTGTCGATACATTTTTCTGACATTAATATTTGCTCAGCTTTTTCCAGTTGTGGTATAGAGATTTCGCTATTATTTGAGAGGATATTTAATCGACTATATTTTGTAAGAAATTTGATTAATTTATCTTTTAACCCTGCTTCCGTAGCGTGGTGTATTAATTGTTCATAAATTACAATATTAAGTTCCATACAAGTACATTTATGGAAATCTGTTTTTGATACGCCTTTGTCTAATTTTAATTTAAACGATCTTTTTTCGTCATTTCCATCAATATTTTTGTCTTCATCGTCGATTACTCCAAGACCTTGCCAGTCACTTACTTTATTCGCTTCGACGACTGAACGAAACATGTCGAATACGGCATAACTTTGCATAGTATCTACGCTGACATCTCTAAAGATGAGATTCGACAGTGTCACGCGTTTTGTTGATCTGCGTTTTTCATTTTCATCTATACTTTTATTCGTTTTCAATATTGAAGCATACTGCGAGCTATTACTGTGTTGATTGTCATTCCTAATAGATCTATTTGAAATAATATCACTCGTTGTTGCTTTAGGTTCATCAGTGGTAATATCTCTTTGAGAAATATTTGACTTCGTCCTCAACACGTCCAGAGATATCGAGTTTTTGTTAAAACATTGCACATCTTTTATTTCATCTTCATCGTCGTCACTCATACTACCATCCTCCAGTCTCTGAAGTTCGACCGATGACCGATATCTCTCATTATATCTTGTGTCACTGTGAAAACTCACACTTGATTCAACTATCATCACCGTCCCACCACAGTCAGGGCACTTTTGCTGATGATTTTCCAAGTAATTTACTATTCTTGTGTGAAATTCTTTTTTCTGGTTTAATGGCAGCAATTCATAACATGTTCTTCTAGAGATTTTATTTTTAAATTTCATAACCTTACAGAATGCATACTTTGGAAGATTTTCGTTTAATTCTGGGTCATATTCAAAGGAGCAGTCGCACGTCAAATCATTTTGCAAAGAGCTATCCGATGCAATAGTTAAAGTTGAAGTTTTCATGCGATTATACCTATATTTAGAATTTCCACAGGATAATATGCGCATAGAAAAAAGTCGTTTCACAGCTTTTGCTGTTGTTATTGGATCGTTTTCATACATTATATTTTCTAAGAGATCTCTCGACAGTACATTACCTATTACCGATGCTATTTTCAGCAGTAGTTGTTGATATGGAGTGAGCGAATCAATTTGCATCATAATTAATACATCTATATTTTGCACATTGACATCAGTTTTTAACTCTTCTTTTTTTGTTACAATGCATATCTTAATGTCTCCCGAGGAATTCTCTTGTATTAATTGATCTAGAAGAGGTTGGTCATTTTGATTCAATGCAATAGGATGGAGGATAGAAGAGTCTGGGTATTGTAGATCTTCACTGTCCCAGTCATCTAAATTATTACAAACATTTTTCAGTTCTAATGAACCACTTGAAAACAAATTTACAATGAAACTCTCAATTAAACCTGGCATTCCGTTGCACTTTATCCGCAAAGCATTACATAAATCATTTGGAACGGCATCCACATCCAATATTTGGCATGCCAGTGGTGCAATCCAAGAAGAACTTAGCGGGCCTAAAACTATTTTTCTGATATTGCTACTAATAAAAACGTGGTATAGCCAATTATTGACTGTGTGAAATTTGCCTCGCGTCACGGTTAAAACAGTAAATATATTTAAAGCTGAAAACATTATTGATAAGTAATCCCAGGATGATGAATCTAAATTTTGAAGATCATCTATAAAAACAATGCACGGCTCAGGAATCGACACCATAATTTTCTTAAAAACCTCTTTCGCTTTGTCGTCCTGGGCCTGATCGTTTTGTAAACTTACTCCCTCGTGATAGGCAAAACGTACTTTGATAATATTATTTAAGTAACATAGATCATCCGTGTAAGATTTTAGGAGATTGACAATTTTTTCTTCTTTTTCAAACCCTTTAACGGGCTGTTGTATGTCTAATATTTGATCCATAATTTGGCTCATTGCTAAATATTGTGTTGCCGAATGTATAGAGGTTAATGTTAAATAACACACCTTTAATTGTTTATTTCTAGCGTAGCGAGCCATCCATTGTAACAGCCTCGTCTTGCCTAAGCGCGCTTCAGCTATAAGTAACAATGCATCGAAATCTCGAAACGGCAGTTGGCAGTCTTTTATCCAATTCTCGAAGTAATCCATTTCATCAACCCTATTCAATAATGGTGGGATCATAGGAATATCAAATAACTCCTTAACTCTGATTTCTTCAGTGTATTCATATATTTTTCCAGGCTTTATGATGCCTTTAAGTGCTATAGAGGGTTGCAATGTAAATCCGTTACTTGACATCTTACTCTTAACGAATGTAGCTTCGTCGCACGTTATTTTGTTTCGAAACCCGCACATAAATCTGGCGGCTTTGTTAACGATGGCTCCAATTACGGTAAACTCCCTTCGCAGCGGATGTCCAACCACTCCACAGTACACTTGACCCGTTGTTACGCCAATTGAGACTTCCAAAACGCCGTCTAACGCTGACACAGACTTTTTAATGTTGTAGGCACATTTTAACGCAGCTTGAGCTTCCGACTCATGTTTAAATCCTCTTAACCCAAATATTACTAATATCATTACATCCTTATCGAATAAAATTATCTTATTTACACACCCCATAGATTTATAGACAATTTCACATGTTATTTGGTATGAATTATTTATAATCGCTATAAGTTGGGGAAAAGGGCATTCAATCGGTTTCAGAGTAATGAATAAAATAGACACTTGTCTCATTTCGGTTAGGTACTCTAAAGGTTGATGTGCATCTATTTGTGTAAGTATGGGTCTTATCATAAACTTTCTGATTTCTGAACCGATTTTCCTTTCCTCGGCAATTAATATTGACTCACGTAAGCTGAGAATGTCATTTCGCTTCGCTAAATCTGCTGAGCTCAATTCATCAGGTGAGGTGTAAAGGTAATCTGGTAGGTCATCTATGGAAATAAATGGTTTCTTAATTTGGCGTATCATTGGGCCGAACCCTAAAAATGGTTTGGTGACGTCTTTCTCACGAGAATCATACAAAATGGCTTTTATGGTTACATGACCGTCATTGCCGATAACGTGATCGTAATTTCGGGAGTAGCAGTGACCCCAAGCAGTTGGAGTCAACTTTACTTCGCCCGAAGTACAGACGCTCTCGGCTGCTTTCGCTTCTAATACAGGTAATCCAATAATAACATAGTTCATATCAATTCCTGTTCCTATGGGTGCAAAAAGGAGATTTCCTGCCGATATAGCCAACTTAACCTTGAGATTTACTTTAACATCAGTTTCATACGATCCAAGGGAATGTTGAATTATAAGAGCGCATGCAATAGCAGTGTGTATTGTGTGATTGATGAAAGTTTTTTTATCTGTCTTCCAGAGTGCTAAGAATGCGTCCCCTGCAAATTTTATCACGTCTCCGCCGTGGCTGTAAATAATTTCTATTAGAGAGCCAAGGTACGTATTTAATGTAACTGTTAGTCTGTATGTCCCCCCTTTTCCATAGGCATTATATTTTTCTGATAGAGCGGTATATCCAGATACATCTGCCATTAAGAGAACTCCTACAAATCGTTTCGGAGATGCTGCGTCGAATCTTAAAATAATATTGATTTAGTGAAAATAAATGAAATTATATAAAATTATTTGGTTTTAATTAGTTGCAAAAATTCAACAGTTCTTACTTATCCATTAATAAAATTTCATCGGGTACCAATGTGGAAAGTATAAGTGTTTGCCTCTGGTTTAGTTTTACTTCAATATCTTGATCCGATTTGTCGGCGCACACGCTCTTGCGGAAGTAGAATTCTTCCACCCAATCTTGGAGTTCTCCAGCCTGAGTTTATATTTCGAGCTATCAATATTTTTTTAATATACATGATGATTTTATACTATATTATGATTTTTTACTAACATTTGCATAGTTTATTTATTTAGATATCCTTACTTGCTTTCCTTATATAATAAAATATAATTAAACCCTAACTTTATTTGTAATTAGACATCAAAAATGATGTTGCTATTTTTCAGAAAACCCACAGTATAAGTTCTTGGAAAATCTATAGTATTCCCCTTAATAAAATACGATCCGTAGTTTACATGAGTAGTTCACGTTGAAGTAAGACACTTAACGGTTTAAAACGCGAAATGTTTATTTTAACTACGGCCCGATGTTTCAGATGCTTTGGTAGCAGCCATGGCAGCCACAAGGGTACTGTTTCAAACCGTTAAAAGTGTATTCTTTAATTGAACCTTAGCGACGTATGTGTATGATTAAACAGAAATAAACATTCATTGTAAACCTGAGCTAAATCGTCATCTGACGAGCCTTCGTCAGCAAAATCGGTATTCCTTCTCGATATTCTTCTACCGTGACTCCGCCATTTTTCACTGTTGACGATGAAATTTAAAGAATTCCTACGAGACCGTGTGCGCGGCCTTCGGAAGTTCATGGTTCGATTTTTATTCACATTGAATTTTGCTATCTCATGGAAATGAACACGTCAAATTGTCTAGAAGGCCATGTTCAATTCGCACTATTGTTATTATTTTATCTAATATAATACGTACACATCTAACGATCCAGTTCACATTGATCTTATCATAATTAACTTTCTAATATATATTTACAAAGCTAAAGATTATTGATGTGTAAAATCAAACAATAATAACCTCAAATTAGCGATGATTTTGAAACATTTGAACTTCCGCCTTGTATCTGTCAAATATTGTTTTTTTTTAATAATATTTTATAGCCTGGTAATTGAGTTTAATCTCTAATTTTAAACAGGCTATAAAAGAAGAAGTTTTGAAAGATGGGAATTCATGCCATCAAAAAGAGAACTTTTTGTTAAAAAACACATTTCTATAACAATGTGTATTGTTTTGATATAACCCCCATTTACGGTGTCTAGAAAACTGGACTGAAATTAGAAAATTTGTTAGTCTCTTATTTGGTCTATGCTCTTAACACTTATTGTATTTAAATTTGGAGCTTCTATAAGCATCCTTAAATTTTACCGATTGGTCAGTGAATGTCATAATTAAGATCTTACACTTCTTCAAAGACAAAAAACGACTTATCTTTATGAAATAAGATCACGTACAAATTACTTGCAGTCACAATAAACGGCAGACTCACATTTAAATAGTAACAATCCTAGTCCCTTGTCTGATTCTGGAAATAAATTATATTCTTAATTCATGTATCATGCAATTAATTATCAATTACTCACGCCAAACCAAACCAGTAATAAAGATAACAAACGTAACGTATAGTAATTAAAAAGTAAACAAGTCTAAGGTTATTGAATCTATACTAACATTATAAAGGAGTTTGTTTGTTTGTTTGAACGCGCTTATCTAAGGACCATTTAAATAAAACACTTTAACGGTTCAAAACGCGATATATTAGTTAAACTTATTTGAAAATGATTTTTAACTTCGGCCCGACGTTTCGGATGCTTTGCAGCAGCCGTGGTCACGGGGACACGTCGGGCCGAAGTTAAAAATCATTTTCAAATAAGTTTAACTAATATATCGCGTTTTAAACCGTTAAAGTGCTTTATTTAAATGTGTACTACTCGCGTAAACACTTCGAGGCTTTACGTGCGCTGCCAAGGCGGTCAAGATACCAGGAAAAATATGTAGGAAAGAATTTTTCTGAAGCCATCGATGGTACTGTTTTTTTCTTTAATAATTAGCTGTTATATCCTAATAAAATATCATTGAAGGTAATAGCATAATTTCAATATCTAACTCATGCGAACTTATCAACCATCTGTGCGTGAAAAATTTTATCGCACAATTCCGTAAATTTTCATACGCTTCAAGCCATGTTCCTAGCTTGAAATTAATGCATTTTATATTATTATACTAATGATATGAACGCCTTTTTTTGTAATTTCTATCAATTATTATTATTTCTATAAAATACGTTTCGCTTCAACGTAGCCCTGTCTGTAGTTTACGAGAGTAGTACACGTTTAAATAAAACACCTTTTACTGTTTGAAACGCAAAATATATTCGTTTCTGATGCTTTCCAGCAGAGAGCACTATTAAATGGAGACACCCTCCATTATAACTCCCTCCACCGTGACCACGTATGCTGTAGGCCCTCAGAAACGTCAGTCTGTAATTAAAATAAATTGTATACAATGTAACTAATATATTTCGCGTTTTAAACTGTTAAAACGATATTTTTATTCAAGGTACTAACCAATAAAACAAGACACTACAAAAATAGTTTTGAGCCATTTTGTTTCTTACTAATTAGCTGGGTATAGAAGGTGTAGAATTACCTACTATTGAATTTTTATTTATTATTTGCTATCATCTATATTAACTCCTACAATGCCACGCAATATGTACCACGGAAGCAATGTCAACAAATGGACATTACTGCATCTAATAATAATTGCAAATTCTATGTCTATAATACAGAAACAATAAATTGCTTTGTCTCGATAGCGGTAACGGTAACCATAATTTCTCATGAGTGTTAGTTTGCATCCATTCTTTGACCGTACAGCACGTTAGGAAGAATGGAACAAGAGAGTAGTTTTTTGGATCGGGTTTTGAAGATAGTCAAGGATGAGTCGGCGGCACATATACCGCTCGTACAGTTTAAACACCCGAAGGAATTAGAGGTAATTTTTAGAACAACTTTTATCCGCGACTCCGTCTGCATTGTATACAATTAACTAGGACATTATTTGTGTTACATTTTTACCAATTACGTTTTATAAAAATCTGTTATAGTTAAATACTGTCTATAGTTTACCCGAGTAGTACACATTTAAATAAGGAACTTTAACGGTTTAAAACGCGATATATTAATCTCCATCCATTCTCCCCGTGACCACGGCTGCTGCAAAGCATCCGAAACGTCGGGCCGAAGTTAAAAATCATTTTTCAAATAAGTTTAACTAAAATATCGCGTTTTTAACCGTTAAAGTCTTTTATTTATATGTTATAGTTTTTAATATAATTCAAATATGAATAAGGAATATAAGATCATATAATTCTTTATGTATTGTTATATGTGTGTTTGGTACTTTTTGGGTTTCTAATTGTATAAGTTACAACGTATATGTCAAAGAGCTATAGTTAAATTAATGTAGTGCAACAAAGGGCCCTAAAAACGATTTTGTGAAAACTTTATTACATGCGTATGCCAAATAAATTCAATGCACATGGATTTTAAAGTTACAAAAATTAGTCAAAAAAAAACAAACCTTATCTATTCCATAATTCAATATTATATTCAGTCAACAAAAACAACTTTCTAAAACAACCACATGACTATAGACCTTGACATTTCTAAAGACATTTTTCAAATATAATCATATTTTAATAATAATCTAAGCATTATTACAAACATATCTAAACTTAGATTACCGTCACTTGACTCTACGTATACGTTCTTCTTACAAAAGTGCTATTAAGTATTTAGTTCGAATCCGGGAGACATATTTCGGGAAGGGCTCACATATTTCATAAACTATTTGTCTATAAAGAAAACGTGTAAAAAAGATATAACGATTAAATATCTTTAATATTTAAGGCTTTGGTTATTTATATATGTGTTTTATACAAGTAGGCGAAATAGCTAAATTATATTAAATGATAGGAATATCGTGATTCCGTCCGGGTCGCGAACAACGATACACAGATAAAGGAGCTTGAAGTTTAACCGCGATTTTAATCTGTGGATTTAAATCCAAAGCTTAAATAGGTCGACAGCATATGTTGTTTAGGTTTTATATGGCTGAGTACACCTTACATCAAAGGAACCCGTGTGTCCTCCTCTATCTAAAAAAACACCTCCGATCAGCTGTTGGGCCTCGAAGCTCCTGAAATCTACGTCTATTCTTAGCTAGATATTTCTTAAGATCTCATAAAGAAAGGGTTTGACGTGAACCCATACATTATACGTGTAGTCAAGTTTCACGTCATGACCTATATCATTCTGAAGATTATTCATCAATTGACTTCAATCTTCTTCAACAATGTCCAATAAAGCACAAAATGGTTTCAACGGAAAAATAAACGCCGTAACATTTGAACCTCGTAAGTCTCATAAAAAAGGAAAATAAAATAAAAAAGAATTGACGAATTGAATATAATATACACGATCAATTTGTAGCCACGACATAGTACAGTGTTGGTCGTTGGTTCGAGTCTCGGCCCATAACATATAACGATTATGTAAATTTACATAGTACTGAGGTCAACCATAATTTACATCAATTAAGAGACTGGTCGTGCAGCGTCATAACTTCGTCACAAAGTGTTAATCTATTATGTCCCACTACTAAGTACTACATTCCTGAAGCATAGGAAAGGGTTTTTATAGCTTAGACCCACCATGCCGCTTTCCCATAGTCACTGAGTCATTAAATAATAATAATCGTAAATTATTTATCTACCCATCGATCCTTAAATCTAATGAAAGTGTAAAAAAAATAATAGTAATAATTTGTCTTGAGGCGTATTTTAGTATTTTTGTTACTAGAAATAGGAATAAAAAATCTACCATGTATTTTGTCTATTCATTATATCTAAAGATTAAGCTAGTGGGAATTCAAAAATCTAAACACGAACTGTTGAACGATTGTTAGCTCCCCGTTACCTGAGAAATCTATAAATAATAAGAGAAATATTAGCCTTTCGACCTATTAAAATTATTTTATTAAACGTCTACAATTTTGTTAGGAAAAGCTAGTCTAAATCAAAAATATAAACTCTGTTTTACAGTCCCCATAAGTTTCTTTAATCAATGCCCAGGTAATTCTCCACGATGATATAGACATCTCGGAACCCGTATCCGATCAAGATCTAGAGCAATCGGTTCGGAAGGTCCTGCATTACAGTGTGAAGACCAATAAGTCTACCTTCAGGAACCAGCTCTACGGTGGCACGGATCCCTACGGATTGGCGGGAGCTTGGATAGCAGAAGCTTTTAATACAAGTCAGTAAGTAACAACGTGTATATAATCAAACTTTAACGTTTTATTATTTGGAAGTCATATGCAATATTTTGGAAACTACTAACTCTATTCATCAACTATATATGTAAAAAGAAATTTTACCCAACATTATTCTAATTAATTTATAATATTTCTGAAACATGTTTGACTTCGTCTGGAAATCTGGATATTAAACGGATGGTAGGAATATCGAAATTTCGTGCGGCTCACGAATCACCGTCCACAGATTAACCACGTTTCACTGTCAGTCTGTGGATTTTCAAATTACTAAAACCAAAATTCTAATTATCTGGAAATTTGAAAATGATTGGCCACTAATAATTAGTTACATTTTTCCGATGAAAGAATAGTCTTTAACAACTTATTTACCACACATTAAACTTTCGTGACGAAATTTTGATACCACTTTGCTAATGACACAATTCATTCCAGGTACACATATGAAGTGGCACCAGTATTCACATTGATCGAGAACAAAATGCTGGATCACATCCTAAAGTTGTTCGGTTTTCCCGACGGTGACGGCATATTCAGTCCTGGAGGCAGTTTGTCTATGCTGTATGCTCTCGTTGCAGCAAGATATAAAGCGTTTCCAGAAGTAAAAGCTAAAGGCATTAGAAATTTACCAGAAATGGTCATCTACTCGTCGGAAGGTGTAAGTTTCATTAAAATTAGATCATTTTCATTCGGTGCTTAAAATTGTTTAAACTGACCAAGTATAAGGTTTTACCCTGTCCATTTTTTGTCTGTTGAATGGACAAAAATCTTAACCTAAGGGTAAGATTGCTCGTGCTAAAAGCACCGGGATTTAAAACTTACAGTCCCAATTGTTGAGACATGTATATTTCTCGTAAGTACTAAAACTTCGATGACTAGTTGAAATTATTTGAAATTTTTTATTTAATTTGATCGAAATTAATTTATAATTTGGAAAATAGTATTTTTACAATAAGTCTAATTTAACACATATAGCGCAGGTAAATTGAGATAAATCTAGAGTCTATATACGTTTTGATATCATAACGGATTCTCTTAATTGCATTTCGCGTATATAAATCGTATATGGTAACTAAGGCAATAATTAATTTAGTAATGATTAAACATTTCTTTCAGAGTCATTACTCAATAATGAAAGCGGCGCACTGGCTCGGCTTTGGTACGGAAAGCGTCAGACGCATAAAATGTAATCAATGTGGACAAATGCTAACTGACGAACTAGAAAAAGCGATGACAGAAGACTTAAGTAACAATAAAGTTCCGATTATGGTGAATGGAACAGCCGGTACCACTGTTTTGGGAGCCATAGACAATTTGGAGGAAGTAGCAAGAATCTGCAGTAAATATAATGTTTGGATGCATGTGGATGTTAGTATATTTGGAAACAGGTATCTGTGTTTTCTGTGAGAGGTCCAATCCTATGTAAACAAAAGTCTACCCCATCTGGAGCATGGGCGAACACATTTCTGAGTCCGTTTCACTGATTGGTTTATTTCACAGACAAGCTCACATGATCAAACTTCCGCACCCTGCCCGATCGTAACAATTTATTGTTTTCCCGGGGTTTAACCCAGGAACTTTTACGCTGAACGCAGGCAACAGGTTTAATCATTTAGCTATAGAGGACCCGGATGTCAAAACATTCTAAATAAAATCAAATCCTTACGCCCTTGATTTGAGAACTGATAGCCAATGAACATTTTTTTAAATGATAGAATAGGACAGACAATGGTTCACTTGATGCAAGGCGAAATACCCCAGCCCTATAACATCCACACCAGGTGCGTTGTCGACCTATTTTGGATATTCGATATTTTGAGTCTGAGTATATTTAACTGTGTTGACATTCATGAATTCTAAATAAAACACTTTTACGGTTTAAAACGCGATATATTTTTTTGATTTCAATTGTTTTGCGTACCAATCTCGGAAAAAACACCGAAATTTTAATAGGGAGGACGGCCTCAAATTATCAAACACCTGGGATCCCATATTAAAAACTCTGGATCCCAATAAACAGCATACCGGCAAACGCGAAGACACCGTTAGTCAATTCTGCAAGGACCCGGCCAGTTTCGCCAAATACCAACTTCGACGGAACAGATGGCGCTAGCGTAGCAATTTTTTACTTTGACGTCAGAGACATCCTCCATCTTTGGTCTCCCCGTGACCACGGCTGCTGCAAAGCATCCGAAACGTCGGGCCGAAGTTAAAAATCATTTTTAAATAAGTTTAACTAATATATCGCGTTTTAAACCGTTAAAGTGTTTTATTTAAATGTGTAGTACTCGCGTAAACTATAGACAGTATTTCATGAATTCTTTTATTACATAGAATTAACGGAAGTTCAATTTTATCCATAAGAGACCAGTGCCTGCGTTTGTTGCAAACTGGTGAAAAGGGAAAACGTTAATGAAAGTTAATTATGCCATATGAGAATTGTAAAGAGTTGGTTTGTTTAGTTGAATGTGTTTTCCAAGAAATATCTGTTTGATTTGAACATTAATTATATATTTGTTTGTTTATTTGAGATAGCAGATGTAGGGTCAGAGTCATAGCAATTGGTTGAAACTTGTAAAGTGTATAAGAATGTTCCTAAAAAGACTTTGACTGCTGTCTATACTACTACACTAGCTGTGTCAGCGACTTCGACCGCGTAAAATAATTATTTTTCTCATCTTTATCAAATATAGCTGCTACCTACGACGTCAGTCGCGTCCCGTAGTGCTTTCCAATTAGACGTAAATTTTTAAAAATGTATACCGTCGCAGATATTTTTTTGATGATAATTTAAGATGGATTCATTTATACGTTTTGTGTATTATTAACGCTAACGGAAATCCTCAAAGATGAATATTTTCCACCGTTTTTTCCACATATTTTGTTCCTTCGCTCCCATTAGTCGTAGCATGATGTTTTGTAAAACTATAGCCTTCCTCGATAAATGCTGTAACTAACACAAAAATAATTTTAATTCGAACTAGTAGTTCCTGAGATTCAAACAAACAAACAAACTCTTCAGCTTTATAATATTTTAAATTTGTTGGTATGTATAACTTACACTGTCGAATTATCGTGTTTAGTTTTATCAATGAAGTGAAGGAAAGTTTTGATTTACGATAAGTACTTATCAAACTATTGTTTGTCTTACATAGGTAACTAGACAGATAGTAAAATGACTATGCAGAAAACCTTGGCGATTTTAAGTTTATCGTCATAAAAAAATATGATTATCTTTTCGCAGGCGTGCTGGGGCGGAAGTTTAATTCTCTCACAAAAGTATCGGATGAAGTTAAAAGGAATTGAACAGTAAGGATTTGTTGCTTTATATGTACTCCGTTACTGGGTATATCTATCTCAGTGGTGGACAATAACTTGAGCGTTGGTTAAACTTAAACACTTAACGGCTTAAAACGCGAAATTACTCTCTGTGACCAAGGCTGCTGCAGAGCATCTGCAACGTCGCGTTTTAAACCGTTAAAAGTGTTTTTATTTTTAATGATTATATTTGTAAGTATTTCAATCTATGCCCACTCGTGTATTATGGATTTCAGAGCCAATTCAATATCCTGGAACCCGCATAAGATGGCGGGTGCTCCTCTTCAGTGTTCGCTATTTCTGCTGAAAGAGAAAGGACTCCTGCACGAAGCGAACGCTGCTGCTGCCCAGTATTTGTTCCAGCAGGACAAGTTCTATGATGTCCGTTATGACACTGGTGACAAGAGTATCCAGTGTGGAAGGAAAGTAAGTTCTTGCATAACCTAAAATTTTATTGGAAACAAATATGAGTTTGACCTGACGAGCCCTCTAGGCATCTGACATTAAACAGGGCAATCAAATGATTTTTTTCATCTCATTTAGGTATGTCCTATTTAAAAAGAAAACTAATAGGGACTGAAGTTTGAGGGTGTCCCTAATGTATATTTTATTTATCTTTTAGTCTTCGTTGTTATATATAAACCTGTGGAAAACCATTTTGTATCGGCAGCCATCTTGATTTTACACGCTAAAACCTATACTAATATTATAAAGCTGAGTTTGTTTGTTTGTTTTGAACACGCCAATTTTAGGAATTTTTGTTTTGGTTAGATCATTTATCAAGGAAGGTTATAAAATATCAGGCTGCGACCAAAAAGAGCGAAAAAGCTGTGGAAATTTTGAAAAACATTGGAAAAATTATTCATCTTTGAGGGATTCCGTTATGAGTGCTGCGAAAACGGTTGAATACCGAAAGAACATGAAAATATAAAAAAAAAATCCTTAAGTAAATTTAAAGAAAAAAATCCGTGACAGTATGTCTGTGTTTTAAGATTAACTCACAAGAACTTTTTTTACAGTAATCTAATTTAGTTGGACGGCGTCGTGGGTAACACAAATTTATAGAGTTGAACAGGGGGTTTGCAAAAATAAAAATTGTTATCAAAAATAATTATTCTACCCGCACGAAGTCGTTGACCCAGCTAGTACTTCATATGGCAAACAAAAGGTTTGTCGGGTCAACTGGTAGTTCAAAAATATAAAATACATTGATTAAAAATCTAAATGTTACAGATAGACGCGTTCAAACTATGGATGATTTGGAAGGCTCGAGGGGATATCGGCCTGAACCACATGACGGATCACGTAATGGAATTAGCTGAGTTCTGTATGGAGACAGTGGCGCAGAAGGTCGGCTTTCGTCTCGTATCCGCCCCTTTGCAGTGTCCTAACGTTTGTTTTTGGTACATCCCCACGTTTATGCGGCATCAGAAAGAAGATGTTAAATGGTGGGATTTAATGCATAAGGTAAGGTGCTCTTTAGTTTTTAACTGATGTGACGTTCATAAGCATGGGTGTTACGCGATATACCCCAGGCCATCTAAGCAAAATGCGCCGTGGACCTATTTTGGCTTTGGATAATTGGAAATCCAGAGAATGGAACCGAAACGCGATTAGACTTCACCGTGGTTCGTGACTCGATGACCGATCCAAGTTTCAGAGAAACTGATAAAAATAATTGTTGGACCCGGTAGGCATGGACCCACGACCCAAATTATTCGCCAAAGCCTAAATAGTTCGACTGGTTGTTTTAATGTTATATGACTGGCCTATTTCATCAACCTCATGCTTGCCTGTCTTCCTTTATCATAAAAACAGTATACATCATAGTGTATAGTTTTGGGTAAATTAGATAATCTCATAGCTTAAACTGTGCATATTCTTCAGATAACACCAAAGATCAAGGAAATCCTCATGACCAGCTCACGTCTGATGGTAGCTTACTCTCCGCTGCGAGATCATAAGAACTTCTTCCGGCTCGCCTTCACCTTCCATCCGCGACTTGATGAAAAGGAGATTATTGATATGCTGCAGGCCATAGAGGATTGTGGGGAAATGCTCTCTCTTGATATATTGTAAGATTAGTATTATGTGATAAATTGATTCTGTATGAGGACGCCATTACATCCTACATTTTGTAAGGTTATTATAACGGTTTAAAACGCGAAATGTGGTTGTTAAACTTATTTTCTTTCTATTCTAAATTATTGTTACTACGGCCCCACGTTTCGGATGCTTTGCAGCAACCGTGCTCACAGAGACTAAAAATGAACGTGTTTTTAATGTAAAGTATAAACAGCTACGCTAGCGCCATCTGTACCGTCGTAATTGCACATTCCGGGTCCTTGCGGAATTCACTAATGGTGTCTAGACAACAATCTAAATCTAAAAAACCAAGTCTATAGTTAAAATAATCAAACTATAAATGTGTACTTGCATAAACTATAGACAGTATTTAAGTTATTTTACACAGGATGAAAGTCGGGGCAGAGAAGAAATTGTATGTACTGTATATTTATAAGATTTCTTTAAGTAACTGTTGATAAGCGTTTCTTACTAAAAAAATCTATATGTAGAGAACTTATACAACACCTTTTTTTTCTAGATATGTATAATATATAGCTGCTAGAGGCAAAATGGCGTAATAACAAAAAACGTGACTTTCAATCAAGAAAAAAAAGGCGCAATTAACTTGGGTGCAAATGAATTGGCCCCATTATATGCGTAAGAACTATGTTAACAATTTTCGGTCACTGTGCTCTTGTAGATTAACATTTATTATAAAAATATAAATAACTTTAGCCATAAAATTGCAGTTAGGCTACTCTGCCTCTAACGGTCTTATATAAACTTAAGTAAAATACAAGGTATCTATATAGTTCTATGTTTTAGAGGAAAAAATATTCTTTCATTCACATTTTATATCATTCCAATAATTGTTACAGGCATCTACTTTATTTATTTCTCTTTCACGTTTTTTTATGACTTAAAACACGGTGTTCCGTACAATCCACTCCAAGTAGTCATCGACTTTAGCATACAGTCCCGGGTGGTTTGGTTCACCACATCGTACTCCCCACGAGACTACGCCGACCACGGCCCAGCGGCGGCTGGACATTTGGTACATAAGTGGCCCACCACTGTCACCCTGAAAAGTCCAATAGGGTTAAGGGAAATTAAATATAACGCACAAATTTTATTGTAATTTAAAAGTGTATCAGGAGAAAAAAATAAAATATAGTTTTCTATTACCTTTATACATATAGTATTTTTACACAACTTTATAAAAAAGCTATTATAATATTTTTGAACTTTTTATCCTTAGAATTGCCAAATACATTGGTTAATTTATTTAACATTTATTTCAAACTATGGTCTGACTTATAGTAAGGTTTCGGATGCTTTGCAGCAGCCGTGATCACAGGAAGAGTGAGGATGGTGTAAATTGTAAATAAGTTAAATAATATATTTTGCTTTTTAAACCCTTAAAATATTTCATAAATGTCTACAATTCGCCTACACTACAGACTGTACTTAAGCATGTACCTTGTTCACAGTGTGTAAAGCAAGAATAAATTCCAAACGCACTTTTTATAATACTTGAATAAATAATTTATTAAAAATGCTACGTCAGTTTGTTCACAAGTTAATCGCTTATTCTAGATCCAAGTAATTTACAGCTTAAAATTAAAAAAATATCCCTTCCATTATTAATAGCATAATATATGTTCTTTAAAAAAACCCCATTTTACAGTTTATAACGCGCAATTTTTATGTCAACCTATTTTTAACCCTGCAGTCGCTGAAAAGTACATTATTTCTTGCAAATAAGAAGCGAAAAACAAAGATTAGTCTCAACTAGAAGCAAACTCACCTGACACGCGTCTTTGCCGCCCTCCTTATCCCCGGCGCATAGGGTCTCATCAAAAACAGAGTCAGTGAAGGATTTCACACACTCCTCATGATTCCAGACCGGTATGGACACCTCCATCAAAACGTCACTCGTTGGTCCACCATAGGATTGTGTGCCCCAACCTAGAGAAAGAGGTTTCTACTAGATTTACAAAGTTTTTATGGTCTTAAACGTAAATGTAATTAAACGTACTAGGTCCTAAAGAGGATAGTCAAGTAAAAGACAATATTGTTAAAATATAATTTGCCATTAAAAAGGACTGCATTTAAAATAATTATTAATAGGTTCCAACAATGAATTGCGAACAGGAAATAAGCTGCATCTATTATAATATTATAAAGCTAACGAGTTTGTTTGTTTGTTGAAATGCGCTAAACTCATGAACTACTTCTTTTTCTAAAAAAAATATGTTGGATAGGACATTTATCAAAGAAAGTTTTAGGTTATATAACCTAACCGCGGCGAGCAATGGGAGCGGAATGTAAAGAAACGGTGAAAGATGTCGAAATATTTCATCTCTGATGGCTTCCGTCACGTAGACTGCAATAAAGATTCCAGAAACCAAAAAATATATATGACACGACAGTACAGGTCTATTTTTTAAGATTAACTACCAAGAACCAAGAACAGTTCTTATGGTAATCAACTTTGGTCGAAAATAAAGCCTTATTACTAAACAATGCAATTGAATAACATAACAATAACTTTGCTGGATCAGCTAGTAATGAACTATACGTACCAATAACCGTAGTGATTTGATCATCCAGTTTCAAACCCCTGGGGGGGAGACAAATGGGCCACACATAAGTGTTGAACACGGCCGGTCTATGCAGCTTCAGAATTGCAATATCATTGTGGTAGTTGGAAGAATCGAACAGTTCGTGCTGTCTTATTTCAACCACGTTGAAGTTGTATGTACGTGAATCGTTAGACCTTTGGAAGTCGTATTCCCCAAGACGAACGAATAACTCATCCGCCTTCCACCTGAAATCCGTAAATCTTTGAAGCTCTGGTTACATGTTGGTAACACTGTATGGCTGATCTACCGATCATAGGGTCGATCGACCGGGTCCGACTTGATCCTAATCGATGTATAATGTTTCTGAAACGTCTTGGACTTCGTTTAAAAACTGGATAATTAAAGGATGGTAGAAATATCAATTCAATCGAATTAATTTCGCGTTTTGATTTTGGTCTATGGATTTCAAATATACAAAGTCAAAATAGATCTTGTTGAGAATTTTACATAGATGAGTATTTCGCGAACCTCATTTGTCTGTCCACCTCTCTCATTAACAAAAAACGCGATATATAACGTCGCGCCGTGATTAAAATAAAATTTAAACTATATATTTCGCGTTTCAAACCGTTAAAATTGTGGTTCAATGTATACCTTCTCGTACAATGCGCAGCTGTAAGAACATGTCTGTCGGTGATGAGGGCACCTCCGCAATACTGCTCGAAGCCAGTGGGGGTAACGGAAGCCATCCATGGCCACTCACGAGGGTTAGCTGGTCTGGCACCAGTTATGCGGCCTTGTGGTCTGGTACTTAAGCCACAACCTGCAATATTTTTTCGATGGTTAAAATATACATGTAAATTGTGAACCGAGAGAGGGAGCTCTGTTTGTTTATTTAATAAAGTAGTTGTTGATTATAATTATAATCACATATGTATTTGAATAAGGATAAAATTAGTTTTTAATAGAAATAGTTAGTCTGTACATGTACAAGGATGCTACAGAGATAAAACAAATGACAAAATACAACGACATTCTTATATATATATCAGACGTAAATGCTGTCTGTAGTTTACGCGAGTAGTACACATTTAAATAAAACAGTTCAACGGTTTAAAACGCGATAAATATTAGTTAAACTTTTTTGAAAATAATACAGTCCCCCCAAAATAATTTTCAAATAAGTTTAACTAATATATATCGCGTTTTAAACCGTTGAACTGTTTTATTTAAATATATCAGACGTCTCAAACGCTTTTAATAAAGTTGTCCAATTAAATATTTAGCTATTGTAATAAATGAGCTGGCTAAATCTGTCATAATATTTATGTTTAACCAATTAGTGACGTAGAAACTTGTATAATTAATCGGTAATAAGTTTGTAGCTAAGAAACAAGAGAAAACAAAAACCATTTATAAAATAAAAGCTTTAATTTCTATACACCTCTGTTTTCTGCTCTTGTTATTTTTACTGTTATTTCATCTTCGTCTTTCGGTGCTGTAGCTGGAAGATCTCCTGCCAACGCATCTACTGCGGATCCATCCGCCATGCTATCTGGACAGCAAACACCAATGGCCCTGAAAATTGATACTATATATATATACTAGCTGTGTTAGCGACTTCGTCTGCGTAGAATAGTTATTTTGGGAATCAATATTGGTTTTCGTCAAATTCTTGTTCAACTCTATAAATTAAGGCTGTTACCCACGACGTCGTCTACGTGCTATCGTTCTTGCAAATTAATCTTAAAAGATGGTGGTATGGTGTCGCGGAATTTTTTTAACATCATATGAAGTTTTTATTCTTTACACGCAGCGGAGTTCCCTCAAAGGTACATCGCTGCTATTAGTCGTAAGCTGATGTTATAAAGCCTTCCTCGATAAATAGTGCAACCAACACAAACAAAAGTTTTCAATTCGAACCAGCAGTCTGAGATTAGCGTGTTTAAACAAACAAACTCTACAGCTTTAGAATTATAGTGAGTTTTACACACTTACGAGTGTTGTATGATGCAAATGTAGTCCATAAACTTCATGAAATCCCTTTTGAAGTCATCTTGTATACAATAATGTAAATGGCGGCAGTGTCCTGTCTTGCCGTCGGGGAGTAGACAAGCTTGGTAAGGCACATTTGGCTAGAATATAAACGTAATTTGTACCGTAATCCTCTTATGCTCTGCGCCAAATGATATATTGTACGCGTAATGTCCTAATTGGCATTCTATCGTACGATATAATCTTGGTACAAATTTTCTATACATAGTTTTGTTAATATACACTTTTTTATATTAGCACTCGATGTCGACAAACCTTAAGGTATTTCATGTCCTATAATATTAATTACAGTCATATATTGATTATAAAAAGATTATTACAAATAAATTACATTACGTAAGTACCCGTAGCATGGATTACCTTTAATTTTGTAACTGATATCTATTAAGTTTTTTTTTTGACGCAACGAACTATACTTATTATAACTATTACTTTTCGTCAAGCATTACTTATTTAAATAAATTTTTTTTTCTATTATTGAAAACTCATAAAGCTCCATATATTAAATCTACGCTTAAAAACGTAACCCGACGTAGCCAATTAACAAAGATATTGTGCAAATTAGGACACCGGCTAACCGTGCGTGGGCGTCAGCCGCGGCGACGCGCGGGCGCCACTCGTGAACTCAACTCGTACGAATAATTGAATTGACTCTCTCCGATTTGAATGCGATGATCATTCAAACGACTTCTGCAATATTGTGATAAAGACGCCGTAAACGTGTTTATGGCATTTGACGGCCGATAAGCGTCCGACTGTTTAATTTTCTATTTATTCTAATAAACGGCTATAAAACGAAAAGATGAAATTGATTGAAACGGTACCTATAATTTATGATGTTTGTGGTTCAGTGGTGTCGCATTACCGGGGTTCGCTTATACACTAAAAATATCTACGTGTTACTTTATGGGGATAATGTAGACGTATTTATGATTATCAGAACCTACTTGATTCTCCTTGAGTTCGACGAAGCGTTTTGTCCGGCCGTGCCCGATATGCATACCTCCAGCCGTTAGCAGATCGTTCCATGTTGGGTCTAGTGCATCAGCTGTAAACCATTATTTTATGATAACTGTGCAGATAACAGTAACTTCGCCGCGTAGTATAGTTATTTTGGGACAAAATTTATTTTTGCAAACCATCTCGTCTGTTTGAATTATAGTTGTTATCCACGACGTCCGTCGTTCTTGCAAGTAAATCTTAAAATATAGATATATTGTTGTAAACATATTTCTTGGGTATCTTAAAGCGTTTTCGGAACGCACGCTACGGAAACCCTCAAAGATGAATTTTCCACGTTTGCTACCCCTTTTTTCTTGCTTCTATTTGACACTAATAAAGTCCTCGATAATGCTCTAACGCCCGCGCAATTTTTCAATTAGCATCTGAAGTCCTAACTATTCAGCTTTATACTTTTAATACAGATTTGATTAACAGAGTGGCATACGTATAATTTTAATTTCTGAGCATGTTTTTTAATAAATAAAAAAATACTAATCTAAAAAATACTTTTGACTATCTCAAGCATTTTTTTACTTAAAAGTAAGAAAATGGTTGATATAGATCATGGATGACAATTGATCAAAGTACCCTCAATAAAATTATGATAGCCTTTTATATTTCTAAGGTTTAAAATTGACATAAACTTACAATCTATGATGTTCCCTTGAACACTTAAAAAAGGTAAAATAACCAGAAACAGCAGCATTGCTGAAGGTTTGCAACCAACTAATTAATTTTATTGCGATATTTAGGACGACGGAAGCTCGGTTAGATAATTGTGATCCACAGGATGAACGATAGCGAAAAAATATTGCGGATTTTGAGTCAATATTAAAAATACAGCAAATTATTATTTTTAATTCAGTACATAAATGTATAACTACATCTGTTACTCAGCGCATTGCATTATAAAATAGAGGTTAATCTAAATCTTGAACCATACCATGCCACAGAATTCTGATCTTTGTCTGTAAATTTGTTCAGTAAGACACAGACAAAAAGTTGAGGCGTAGACTCACAGCGTTAAGTGATCGTTCGTCTAATCCTAATGGTAGTGACGTGAATGGAAGTGGGTTTGATCCCCATTGTACAACATGTATCAATTAATTTACAATTTCTAAACCCAGGTTCAAACCGGCCATCGTTCACAGATTAAGAAACGGTGTTTGGTCCCGTTTCAGTTACAATCTGTGGATTTCCTATAATTGTATATAATGGTCGTATGGTGTGATATGTAAATGGTCGATAACAGGTGGTAAGGATCTTGTGGTGGAAGGTGAAAGATGTTAAATGGCTGCGGTGTGTCACCTACGTCTTTCCTCATATTAAAAATTGACAAAAAGGGGGAGTGATTTCACTTTTAAATATATCATTTATTTCAAGTAAATATTTAACACCAAACGCCTTGTACACGGTCACCAAGTGATTTTCGTTGAGATTAACCCATGAATTTGAGGAACAAGTCTATAATAACCCAAGCTACCTAATACCAGTTATTTTCGTATCCTTAAGTAAATATTCTGAGTAACTAAAAAGGTATTAAAAAATAAATACAGTTTGTAAAGACCCATCCGTGCAATTACGAACCATAAGGAAGAGAATAGTGTACATACAAACACATGTTACGAACTCTCGATCGCAAAGACCTCGGTATTCAATTATACAAGTAATAACCGCGTGGCGAAATCAAAACTTTAACATTCCTCTGAGTAATTGTTTAGGCTAAGCCACATTATTTGAATATTTCAACGCCCATTAGCGACGTGGGCGGCACAGCCTTATCTCTCGATATCTTTTATGACACCATTTTGATATTACGATATATGTCGTTAGGGATCAATGTGGCGTGTACTCGAATGTTAGGTGCGAATTTTCGTAAAGGGCCAGAAACTTGTTTGATTTATATAAGGACGATTTGGTCTATTAATAGAACACAAGGTGTTTAATCTCGTCCAGTTTCGCGTTGTATAATATTGGATAGTGGAAAATTATGCAGGCGGATTGTTATAGCATTCTGTGATCAAGTATTGCCTGTAGATTACACGTTATATTCGAATAGAACACTTTTAACGGTTTAATTTACGGCTCGACGTTTCGGATGCTTTGCAACAGACGTGGTTACGGTGAGACTGAAGATGGAGGCTGTCCCTAATGTCAACATTATGACACTATTCATGTTCAATCCCCCCGTGATAACGACGGCCGCAAACATTTGAAACGTCGAAACGTAGTTAAAATACATTGTAAAGAATTAAACTATACCTACGTTTCGCGTTAACTGGTAAAAGGTTTTTATTGAAAATCTACGATTATATGCAAATAAATACCTTAAAAACAGTTTTAGATTTTTAATACAGTCATTTACTAGCCATGCTATCATAAATTAACGGTATGTGACTGCAGTTAGAATATAATAAATACATAATAAAACATTCGTTTTCATAAATATAAAGTAAATTGTTAATAGAAGCAACGAATTGAATGCTCCAGATCGCGAACGAAATATTAGTTAAAAGCAATATTTCTATTGATAAATTGTTTGGTTACAATAATTTTAATTATACCGCCGATAAATTGGCAACGGCGCCAGCGCAGGTGGACAAGATCACAAGGCCTTTTAAATGCAAATACCGAAGACTAGGTTTTCGAGAATGGGCAAAGTGCTTCGGGCGAGGTACGGTACACTCTATTACTTAGGCCACAAGTTCGTTGGAGGTAGTTGCCACAGCTGATGAATTAATGAAACGATTTCATTATTCAATCAAGTGAGCAACGCCGTCATTAAGAAAACATTACAATGAGCGTGTATAGGACAAAACAAAGCAATTGAATTTAACTAAAACACTTTAACGGTTTAAAACGCGATATATTAGTTAAACTTATTGAAAATGGGTTTTAACTTCGTGTTTTCAGTCTTCCCGTGACCACGGCTGAAAAATCATTTTCAATAAGTTTAACTAATATATCGCGTTTTAAACCGTTAAAGTGTTTTATTTAAATGTGTACTACTCGCGTAAACTATAGACAGTATTTAAAGAAATTGAATTTAAGATTTTATTTGTTTGTGTTTAAGTCCAAATTGTTTATATTAGGTACGACAAAAATTTAAGGGTTTGTTTTTTAAACGCGCTAATATCGGGAACCATTGGTTTGGCAATTTGAAGAATTGTTTTTGTGTTGAATAGACTATCGAGAAAGGCTTTAGATCATATAACATCATCACGCTGCGACCATTAGGAGTAAAAAAAGTATTAATGAGAAAAAAAAAATAACTTTGAGGGCATCCGTTGTGCTGCGAAAACGGTTCTAGAAACCAAAAATTATGGGAGAAAGTATAATTCCCCTTTGATACAAATGATCTAAAAAAATCATGAGATGTATAGCTTTAAAATAAAATAAAAAAAGAATTAAAAAAAAATCTTTTTAGATTATCTTGCAAGAACTATGAGGGCGACGTCGTGGGTACAATATCATAGAATTAAAACATGCATTCTATTAATTCAAAAGTAAATAATTCAGTTATCTACTAACGGTAGAACAATTTAAACAACTTATTAATATCGCATCGTTCTCATACTAGCATGTGTTATTTCCATAAGTTATTTTCGCTCCAAGCAGTGATTATACAGATTCGTATTTTTTCATTTTGTACGTAAGCTAGTTAACGATATGAATAAATTATTTGCTTCATATTTATGTAATATCGGTAAGAAGTGAAGGGAACGCGTAGGTAGGCTTCAACTGCAATGTGCAGCCTGGCATAAATTCAAATGACTGATTCCTATGTAGATAATATTGAGAGTACGGAATCATTCGTCAGTTGTAATTGAATAAGACATAGATTGAATGCAATTCTATACACAACTATTATTCTTTATCGTATAAACGACGTGAATAGTTGACACGATTCGATTAATAACACTGATAATCAGCAGGCTGAGAAGTCCTCAGCAAGAAGTCGTTTTAAACGGAAGGTTACAGATTTTAGCAGAAAATTTTACAATCCTAAATCTAAATCGACAATCGAGGTAAAATATTGTAAAGAAGATATGAGGCTACTAGAGGCAGAGTAGCCTAACTGCAATTTTATTACTTGTGTTATTTATATTTTCATAGTCAAAAATATAAATATACAAGAGCACAGTGACCGAAAATTGGTAACATAATTCTTACACAATAATAATACAAATTCATTTTCGCCCAAGTTAATTGGGCATTTTTATTTTCCTCCTACATGAAAACCTAGTTTTTTCTTATTACGCCATTCTGTCTCTAGCAGCCTCATATGCCCTCTTTCATTCAGTTTATACATCAATTCCATATTCAGTTTTCGTCAAAAAAGTCAGACCCACGTACAAAAAGATTACCGTAATTAAAAGAATGTAAAAAAGAACTTTCTTTGCATATAATTTCTCGTAACTTAATAAAAATACGTGATATTGAACTCGGAACTAATTCCTTCCCGTAATTTGTGCCTCAAGTAGATAATTAACGAGTAACAAAAATTTTCTAACTTTCACCGTTTCTTTGCATAGTCTATTTGGATTTGTCATCACCGGACAGACCACACGTTGTTAAATCAATCTTCGTTGATTGGATAGATGTAAGTCCGTGGATTTATATAACACCTTACACGAAAATGTATTGTGGGTGGGCTGTAATCCGCAGCTTATGCTGGCAGCCACACGTTAATTCGTGACCAGCGAATTAAATTCTAATAAAGCACATTTAAAATGGAATAAATTCGATTTGCGACATTAAGAAAACAATTTGCAAAGTCAGAGAGATTGATGACCAAAAATTCTAAAGCTACATTTGTTCTCTATACAATAAAATAAAATGTAGCAAGTTATTTAATCGCTCACAGGTGTACTTAAGTAAACAATCTAAGTACTAAAAGACACAAGGTCTAACTTGTCCATACAAATTGTTTTCCGTAAGCGAATTCTAGGATTTTGAATCAATGTTGTAGCTTCGATTAATCAAGGTTTAAGGTCTTTCTAATTTGAGTCGATAAGATTTAATAGGTCTTAAAAGAGATCTTGTTGCGATAATAATAATGGATATCGTTCCACTTCTCACATTATTAGCGAGAGGGCAGAACCATTTGATTGACGAGAAAATATCTATAGCGTCCATATACTCTCGCAAATACGTTATTAAGGCAGTAAACGTCTTGTTTCACCGTTTTAAGCCGACTCAACTGATTGGACATTTTAATATCGAATGAAAGTGGCCATCTAGATACACGGATGTCCACAACTCCAGTTCAGGTTATTGAGGAAGATCTGTTTAAAAAAAGCTACGTAAAATATTAAAATACAAGACAAACGTCATTTTCATGTGACATGTTAAATATTATAGCACATACTTTTCTGAAAAGCTTTCTTACTTACCTATAAGAAATTTGTGATACGATTTACGTTTGTTTAACTTTATGTCATAGAGACCATGCCAAGCAAAGAAAGTTTTAGATTTTCACAATTAATTATTATTATTATTATAATCTGTACTTCAAATCACATCTGTACGTCACAGATCTATTCCGAAAACCTTCATCTATTTAAATCTACTTATAAATATGACCACAGGTTATAATCTATTAACATTTTCAATATCGTATGTGCATAGAATAATTCTAATATTAATTTACATAAACGAATCCAAAGATCACGTTTCAGTGATATAATTTCTGATGGCCTGACC